ATAAGCCATAGAAAACAAAATTAATCAATCAATAAAAAAAACATTAATAAAATTTTCAATTCTCAGTTAAACATTTCAATTTTAAATTAAACAGTCTATACTGGAGTATAATATTTTTTTTAATAAAAATAAGAGAATAAGAAAAATATCAAAAATGATTCTATCTTTTGCATAGCTTAAACATGGAATAGAAAAATTTTCTATTTCTAAAAAGAATATTTGCTTTGAGAAAACATATATTAATATTCTACAAATGTTGAGGGTTGCCAATAAGACCTTTCCTTTTACAAAGAAACATTTCATACATTTCAGAAAAGTCATAATTATAAGTACATATTAAGTATAAAACTATTTCGTTTTATATTTCAAAATATCTGAACAAAAATGTCTAATTTTAGTTTTATATATAAACACGTGCACATGTATGGGTTTGATAAAATTACTTGGTATGCAATTTCTAGTTTCAGCACTTGTGGAATTTTAGCAATGCTTGCCTAAAAAAGTAAAGACTGTTTTCATTCTCCTTGTTTCTGTTATGCTTCATAGCCTCACTTGATGAAGACTGGAGAGTTGCCCAACAAAACAAGTGAATATTCAAGATTTATTATTAAATGGGCACATCTTAATATTCATTTATTTCATGAGTAACAAAAGTGTATTGCAATGATGAATATTAAATTTAGCCTAATGCTGTAGTTTTTCAAAATTTCTCTCTCAACACAATGTCTTCTGAGCAGTAATTTACATGAGATAGCTCATCTGTAGTTATTTGATTTTCCTAAAAAAAAAAAAAATTTGATCAGGATTTTTCGATAAAAAATTATTTTTCTCTATTTATAAAAAAGGTGGAGTATAATGAATTAAAATAACTTGTTGATCATTTTCTTAAAATATGATGTTTATTACAATATTTTTAATGTGGATATATATTTTGTTTTTGCTAAAGACATTAAAATAAATTCATTGAAAGATTTTTTTTTTATTGCTTATAAAATATGATTAGGATTTTATACATTTATATAAGAAGTGATGGAGAGTAGATGAGCACTGTCAATAACCTCCATTATCTAGAAAAATTGCTATGAAGTTCAGCAATGGTACCATGATCAGCTGATCCAATCATAGTATGGTTAAACCAACCAAACCACACCATAAAGTAAAATTAACCTATAAGGTTGATAGCAACCTAAACATTTATAAATATCTACATCAGTCCATGTACTTAACATTTTGTTCATATTAGTACTATGTCAACCAAACTCACAAATCAATGACAGTGAATTCATTCATCACTAGATATGCTATGAACAGGATCGTTCATCAAAACTGACTTTTCCAACAAATATTTTTTTATTGACGGGGAAGTGAAAATATAAAGAAATAAAACCAAAATTTGCTTAAAACACATTCTGAGGAAACTACTTTGACACTTATTTTTTTTAAATAATTAAAATGGATTCACTTGGGATATTAAATAAATTATCAAACGAAAACATTTTTGTATATCACTATATGAAGCAATCTAAAATATAAACGTTAAATATTCTTGAATTGTGACTTTCACTTAGCAACACCATGTAATAAGGAGTGGAATACAATTAATCTAAAAGCAAGAGGATAGATGTAATTGTAGTGGTTTATGTGACCTCTACAGCCAGTACATATACAAGTAGTGAACATGGTTGTATTCCATTAAATATCAGCAACAAGTAACCATTAGTGGATGAGGAAGGGAATCATTCAAGCCTCGAAAATGGAAGTGGAATACAAAAAAAAAAAGAAAAAAAAGAAAAAAGAAATAAAGACTGTTTTAATTTTCCGGAACAAGAGAAATAATGGATATTATGTGTAAAAATGTCAAAGTTGAATTTTAAGCTAATGACATAAATTTTAAGATTATCCAGAATTATAAAATAAAACAAGAGGAATAATCTAAAAGCAATTTGATTATTGAAGTAAGTGTATGTAAGTAAGCCTATTGTCTAATGATGAAAAAAGTGGTTTATTTGAAATGACAAATATTTTCCAACATGCTCTCCTTCCTTGTCAATGCAATTAACAAAACACTTTAATCACAGAGATCAAACATTACATAGTGTAAAATTTCAGATCAAAATTCAGCTGATAACTCTTCAGTTACAGATTTACTGATCTATCCTCAGACATTTGCATAAGCATTGAAAATACAAAAGTAGCAATATACATGGACAATGATGAAATCTAAGTTGATAAACCAAATCACCTTTCTGACACTTAAAACATTTTTATAATATTAAAAATCTGATTTTACATGCCTCTAAGTAGTGGAAATGGTGGATTATAGCAAGAAGAACTGAATTAATATGCATGAATTTAAAGAAAGCAAAAAAATTCAGATTATTTAACAACTGTATGTTAATATTGTTAAGAGAGAACTATTCCTTATTCATTTATTTGTATATAGATAAATAAATCTGGATGAGAAAAAAATCTCATTTTACACATAATATAAGCAAGAGAATGACTATATATAATGATAATATTCTTTTAATAATTTTTTCTCAAAATGGGACACAATGGATCACTGGATTGTCTAATAGCATTTTACAAATTAAACTGATGAAAAAAGTGAAGCTCTTTTAGATAAGAAAATTCATGGTATTAAATGTGAAAAAATAATGTATCTATGAAAAATAAAATATTTCCAAATAGATATCTGGCTAGAGAAAGAAGCAACTAAAACAAAAGCAAGAGAATTGGTAAAAAGAATGAAACAAGTTTTCAAATAAATGAAGGACTCATTATTTGCTTTCATTTCTGAAGTGATAAATAGACCTTAATCATTTTGTATAATTTTCTTGGACAATATAATCAAGTTGATTTAAAGACATGTTAAGCTAATAACAGCAACAATAATCAGAAATAAGTTAAATGAAAAACAAAAAAAAAATTTATTGAGGAGTTTAATGGAAAAAAGCCAAGAGAACCTTAGAAAAACCAACAAAAATGAGACAACATCCTTCAAACAAATAGCGGTTTTACATATTAGCATAAGATACAACATCAAAGGGAGATATGAATTGTTATTAAAGAGGAAGTGAACTCTTCCTTCCTCATTTTGCTATCTAAAGTGGCTTGCTCCCACTTCCTGCTTTCTTTTCCCTCACACTCTTGCTGCCTTGACTGATGGGAGAAAGATCTGGAGACAAGCACATGGAAAATGACAATTCTAATTGTACAGCTCAATGGTACAGAAGTAGTGCTAAAGTTCAAGAGATAAATGCTTCCATACCTATATCCAGCTATAGGTTAAGCTTTTGAATAGGAAAACCTTCCAACTAAAAAACACCCTTTATAAAGCGCTTATTAGGAGACTGCTTTTAATACCTCAGTAAAAATCCAATGCAAATATATCCAAAATTCATTAAAACCTACTTTATTAAATAGGTCAGCCCCTACAATCTCTAGAGATACCTTTTTATACTTAGCAAACAAATTTTAAAGTTTGTTTCTTCTGTGTAGAATATCATAAATTTTTCTTTGTTATAAAATGCAGCACATAAAGAATGGCTTTTAATATATATTTTGTTTTAAATTCAATAATTGTTTCTTTGGAATACAGGAACCAACAAAAAGTGTCCTTTTTTTGTTTCCATGTAATTTTAATCAATGATAAACATAGCTATTTAATACAATCACTAACAATCATGTAAAGGAAAAATATATTCAAGAAATCAATACCAAAAAATATTGTAGATTTTAAGTTATTCTGAATTATAATAATGATAGGAGAATTTCATTATTAAATTATTTCCTGAGAAATCATTTATTTTACTTTCTTAAGATGATTTTAAAAAAATACAGTATATAATAAATGTAGCTTGTCCCCCACTCCCCCCCCCCCCACATACACTTTCACAGTTTGACTTATTCTTTGTGGACAGACACTTATCAAAATAGAATCAATATATGGTTTGAGATTTACTGAAAAGAAAATTATTCAAAACATGTTCGTTCTATAGTCACAGTTACACAGTAAAAAAAGAAAAAGAGAAAAGTTAATATTTTTTTTATTTACTTTTCCTTTATTTTCTCTTAACTTTTTTTATTGTTTGAAATTTGATGAAATCCATTGACTTTTTAATGTTGTATCAGTGAAAGAATATAAAAATGTGAATAAAATGTTAAATTTATTAAACTGAATATCAATAGTTCTCAAAATGATTTGTCCAAACTGAATTCCCAGAAAACATTTTTCTGCTGAACTTATTCTTTTCCAGAAAAGTTAAATTTCATTAGATCAAAATAAGAATGAATGCTTTCATATATGAAAAATTTATAACATAGATGAGAAGCTTCCTGGATCATCACAAATCCACATATTAAAAAAAAAAACAAAAAAAAAAATGATACATTAAAAGATATTAGATTCTTTTTGAGGCAAGTTCATTTTGGGATAATGTGTAGGCCTCAATAACAGTTCCACTTCAAAAATGTAAATAGAAAATGATGTGCTATTAAGTAAAGGTCAAATTCTGAATTATTTATTGTTAACTTCATTTAAGATCAGTTCTTTGAATAAATTACATATCAAATTTTTAAAATATCCCCAATCTGGTGTATTGAAGAATATGAGAAAATCTTTAGTGTCCTAAACTGCCCCCCCCACACACACACACACCATGCTTTCAAGGAGCATTTTTAGTCCACTGTTATTTGGACCTTCTAACATTTATTCAAAAAAATAAAAAAATAAAAATAAAATTGTGCTACATCTCCTGAACCCTAAAAAAACCATAATAAATTAAAAACAAATTTAAAGAAATATTTGGGGAAAATATTTTAAATTCATACATTCTGTTTAGTTTGCAATACAAAATCCTCACATACAATAGATTAAATATTAAAAGACAGCATTTACCTTAAAAAGAAATGGATCAATACATTTACAAAATATTAATCACAAAAAAGAGAAAGAAAGAAACGTTTTTTGCAAGAAAGAAATAAAATAAATATAATTTCTAAAGATTTCCTACCTTATCTTTGTAAGTAGGTGGCAACAACTTTCCAGGATCATCAGGTTGTGGCAAGTAAACGTAAAATCCCAATATATCCCCCTCTCCGTATCCATCAGAAAAATGTTTCCCTCGACTCTGGTGAAAACAGGTTCCTTTCTTTGATCTCCATGAATAACTGAATTTGTCATATCCACAAGGAGCTTGAACATTTCCTGAAAAAAAAAAAAAAAAACAATTGATCAATTCAGACAAAAAGCAATAAAAAAAAAATATGAATCATAGCCAATCAAAAAAGTTTGAAAACATGCCTTCTAAGAACATCAATCATTATACTTATTATAAAACCCAGGTTGTGTGTGTGTGTGTGTGTGTGTGTGTGTGTATGTCTGTACGTTTATATATTGGATCGGATTTCCCACATTTTTCAACCGATTTCAACAAAACTTCACAGGACTACGTAAAATTACCTTGCGGTGGTTCTGACAGCGCCAAAAATTGTAAAAACACAATTGTTTTTGTACAAAATCAATTTGAAAACACAATTAAGAGGCATCACGAAAATGAAAGGGGGACAACTTATATCGAGTTATACTTATTATAAAACCCAGGTTGTTTGTGTGTGTGTGTGTTGGTTTATATATGGGACCAGATTTCCAACATTTTTCAACCGATTTCAACAAAATTTCACTTTTTTTTTTGGCAGGTGTTTCTTATTGGCTTGCACACTTTTTTCTTTATTTTTACATTCAGAATACTTTAAAAATTCCATTTACAAGTCAATTGTTTATAATAAAATTCTATTCAATCAGTAGGCTCATAACGATTGAAAACAATGTTTTTGTTTGAGTTTGACCAATTCGTTAAAAAAAAAAAAAAAAAAACTAATTAAGACATGCGTGTCTGTCAACCTTAAACAACAATCTTTGTCAATTTTATTTTTCAGTCTTTATGATGGTCAATACTTGATCTATCTCTGACTGTTACATCCCCGGACAACGCCGGGCTCTACTGCTAGTTCATAATAAGTTTGCACTCAGACTTGTAAATACTGAGCTTGCACTCAGACTTGTAAATATCTACAATTCAATAAAGTTCATATCAATGTTTTCTTTTGAAAATACAACAGATTTCAAGTGTAATTTATGTATTATTTATTAAATTTCTTGTGGAAAAATTTCAATTAAAATTAATCCAGGTATCTCAAAGGGAGAAAAAAAAAACCCAACATGGAAATTCCTTTAACATTTTTTTTGACAACTAAGAATTTCTTAAGAGAAAGTACAAATTAACAACATTGTTTAACATTCTGCTGCTTATACATCTTTGCAAAACTTACATTGCCTATCATTATTGATGCATATATACATTTTCAGGACACCAAGAAATATCAGTTCCTAGCATTTGTGTTATAAATTAACTAGTGCTTAATGCTATTTCCAAACAAGCATAGACATACAGCATTATACAATATGACATTTTGTGAAATATTTTTATTAAACTTCCCTGCCCGCCATTAGCATGGCTGATGCTCAACTCCAAGAGAGTGACTCACTCACTCTTGGCCTCAAATTTTTGACTGACTTGAAGTGGAACAACTACATTGAATCAACAGCTGCATCTACTGCAAGGAAAGTTGGTTCATTATGTCATGCCAGAAGGTTTTACTTGTCAAAGTCCATCTTACTCATCTACAAATCTACCATTTGTTCATGCATTGAATACTCTTGCCATATCTGGTCAGGTGTTCCTACTCATCTCTAGGTTTTTGACAAAATCCAAAGAAGGATCTGTAATGTAATCGATCCTGACTTGGTATCTTGACTTCAGACACTTTCTCACAGAGGTGATGTGGCTTCACTGTCTTTTCTACAAATATTTTCATGGCAACTGCTTTTTTTCACCTGGTGCTTCAACTACATGTATTTAAGCATGCTACTAAATTAGCATCTAGATCCCATCCTTTTACTGTTGAAATAGTTAAATGTAACTCCCACTTCTACTCCAACAGTTTCTTTTCTCACATTTCCCAACAGTGAAACTCCTTTCCTCATACTTGCTTCCCTGATAACTACAATCTTCAAGAATTTAGATGCAACGTCAATTGCCATCTTCTGTTGTCTTGAACATTCATCTTTTATCCTTTCCTCAATCCCCCCTATACCTAGTCTTTTCTCTCACTTTATCTCTCTCTATAAACCCCTGCGTACTAATAGCACTCCCACCTTGCTTGGGGTGAATTGCTTTAAAAAAAAAAAAAAAAAAAAAGGTTTTTTGGTGGGTAGGCTGTTCAACAACCATGAGAAATTGCTCAATGTCTTTATAGTTATTTATTTCCAGACAATTTCCTGTTTTTCCCTAAACGGCCAGCACAGCCAAACAACAATACTACAACAATGCAGCAGTGAAAGTGCTAATCAACACTTTACTGTTAAGTTTAACTCAACAGCCCAAACAAATTTTAAGCATTCTAAATTGTTTTTTTTTTCTTTGGCTATTTTTAACCCATTCATTTTGGAATTTAGCTCAATGTATGTATATGGTTTTTCTGATGCATTATTTTGTTACTAATAGTCATTAAAAAGAAAGGAATGAGCACTGACAATTTGATTTAGTCACTCCAAAGGCAGTTAGAATTAGCAAAATCGGTTATTCAACTTGGTAACCTTGTGTCCAATTAAATTATCTGCAACTGTTGATAATGTTAATGATGCTATGCTTCATTAAAATTCCTGAAGATTTTATATCATTAGAATCAAATATGCATTTATGAATATTATCTGCATACTTACCAAGTGGCTGTGACCAACCAATTCTTGTAGCAGTATCTGGTGGCATTTCATCAATCTTTACTTCAAAATACCAGGCCCCACAACGTATACCTTTGAATAATAAAAAAAACAAACAAGATGGGAAAATCTATTCAATAATAATGATTTTATAATGATGTTCACTTTGTACAAGGCCCAAGAGTCACTCGAGGTAGAGTGTTACAAAGTAAGAGGCACAGTTTATGGAGATATGCGGAAAAGATAACGATTGACCCTAGATTTGAACAGGTTATGATTGTAGTGATTGGGGAAGCATCATTTTGAGAGTTGGTTCCACAAAGCAGCAGTTTGTGGAAAGAAGCTGCTCAAGTGTGACTGACATTTCATCAATGGAATATGAAGGGAATGAAGGTGGTCCATTAGAATGTGCTTGGTATGGCGGGTCTTAGCTGTGAAGGTCAGAACTAGCGGAACTAAGGAATGTAGTTCGTCTGAATACTTTCCATGAAAATAGTGATAGAGCAAGCAAGAGGCTTGCAGTGTTTCTTACCTTAACATTATCCAAAAGTAGATTTGCTAGTCAATTAGGAAGAATGTTAATTATGAAGAATCGACTTTTTAAAAAAAATCTTTGAAATCAAAAAGATTTTCCAATTCACTTTTTTTTTTTTTTTTATAAATGCTGAAAAAGTAAAAATTAAAATAAATTTGAAAAATAAACTCAAATTAACTAAGGGAGGTAACTCTCTAGTCAAAGTTTTTTCCCTTGACAGATCATTGCACAAAATTGTAAACTGCAGTAAATTATTTTACACATATTTCGATTAGTGATACTTCGGCTTAAGTCGTTTTGAGATAAGTCATTTTCGAAGATACATCAATTTTTCTTAAATATTATACGGAAAAATAAAACTCATTCTAGGTCGTTTTAGTCAAGTCGGCTGTTAAAAATATTAGAAACATCAAAACACTAAAATAACAATAAACACATATAAAATCATATTTAAATAAATTTTAAAATAATATTATATATACTATATATATCATAAAATCATCAAAAACAAAAAAATTAGCATAATAAAGTATGTTCAGCAGATGTTCTTATTTCAAATTCCTGCTGATAGGTGGCACTTGTGCATTGTTTTTCGCTCCAACACTGATTTTAAATTCAGACTTGTTTACATCTGTGCTCTGTCGTTGACGGTCTTTTTGCATAAATTATATCAACAATCTATAATTCTAAGAATTATTTTATAAATATTCAATTTATCAATAAATCAATTGTAATTTAGAATACATTTTTGCCCATGGCTCCAAAGAAAAGTCTCAGTGCAAGTGCTAATGCTAAGCATAAAGCTATATCACTGGAAGATAAGGTGGAAGTTAATTATTTCATTCAAAATACTGTATGTACATATAAATATTGTAATAATCAATGGGGAGTGCTTATTTGCAGTTTATAGTGTGGTTATTTCGACAAGTCATTTTTTGACCTAACTCATGACCTCTGGAACCAAACAATGATGTACCAGTATTATTATCTGATGGTGGGTTCAGATCTCATCAGTAGTTCAAAAATTTAGAAGGCAAATTTTTAATTTTCCATCTACATATGAATTTTCTATGACCTTTACTGAATTATACATACTGGGTATTGTAAAAACATCATTTTAAGTTCATATATCTGAAGACCCAAATGTTTTTTATTAAGATGTCTACATGCATAAATGATTGTCCATTACAAAATGGTTAATGATTTGAACTGGACAGACAATAAGATTTTCACTTCAGTTCAATTTTACTAACAACAAAAATCAAGTATTTAGGGGCTAATAAATTATATCAACAATCTATAATTCTAAGAATTATTTTATAAATATTTCATTATAAACTATAACACTTGACAATTCTTAAATTACCAGGTAATGTGAGCTAGCCAAATATTATACAATGTGAAAGATTAATGTAGGAATATGAAACAATACGCTATGGATGAGGTCTCCATTTTGGTGCTCAATATCCTAAATAAAGAATCAGTAAAAGTTTTCAACAACAAATTTGTTTAGATTTTAAATAGTTTTAATTCATCACTATAATTAGGTAAATTCATCTACACAAAATTTAAGAATCATATATATATATATATATATAAATAAATAAAAATAAAAAGAAAGAACAGTAAGATATATAATCCGGTGTTCTTATAGATATTTTTATTTTTACAAAATAGTGCTCAATGTAAATTTACAGAGCATAATATTATAAATTAATTGATTTAAAATATGTTTTTTTTCTGCTACACAGTTCTAACCATGTTTCAAAAATAGAAGCTAAAAGCCCCGAATTTAATTTTGCAATTAAATTAAAAGCATTAGGAAAAAAAATGCCGTAAGAATTTTTTTACCGTTAACAATAATTTTTTTAAAAAAATCCAGACGACATGCATTGAACGGATGTCAGTTTTCATTGAAAAATACATCCCTACCCCTTACCAAATTGTAGCTAATAACTGATACAATGATACTGTCATAAGGAATACCTAGACATCCCTTGTCTAATTCAAGTAGAATATTCTGTAACCATGGAAACATGATTTTAGCTGTGTCTTTAAAACCCAGTAATTTTTAAAAGTTACTCCAAAATTCGCTTGAGGATGAAATGGAACTGATGCTTTTAATTGCGAAATTAAATTCGGGGCTTTTAGCTTCTATTTTTGAAACATGGTTAGAACTGTGTAGCGGAAAAAAACATATTTTAAATCAATTAATTTATAATATATATATATATATATATATACATACACAACAAAGAATCAATAAAGAAGAGATGACATTTCAATGTCATCAACGTATTTCTTACCATGGGTGGCTCGCACTAAACTGTAACCTTTTTCTCCAGTTACAGTTAAACAATCATCAGATATTTTAAGCTGAGGAGCTAGAAAATAGATAAAGAAATGTAAATTCAAAATTATATATAATGAATTAAAAATAAAAAAAAAAACACTAAAATAGTTGTTTAAAATCTGTGTTAAAAAAGTGCTCAATATCAAGCTAGGAAAAAAAAAAAAAAAAATCAAACCTGTAAAGTGATTTAATATTCTAAAATAATGAAAAGCTGAATGGAACATTAATGCAGTTTTGACCACCAAAGTCTCATCAGGAGGTTAACTCAGCAAAATCATTACATATATTACCACAAGGATTTAAATTTCTTAATGTAGTACCAGAAGTAATGGCAGGGGTAGTAAAAGAAAAAAAAGAAAAAAATTATAATTGTTTTTCCAACTTCACTCGGGTGTGTATAGCCCCAAAGTCAACTTCTTCGTGTGATTACATTTTGCCATAATTTTGGACTCCTCATTCAACAACTCAGCACCACACTTGTAAGGTGCAATTAGAATTGGACGGTTTGGCAATTTATGTTTAAGTATCAGTTTCTGTTTCTTTTCCTATGATACAGCAGTTTTCAATTCAATTTTTCAGTTTTTAATTTAGTATTTTTGCTTTCTAAGGAAGCCATTCATTTTCTTGTGTAATGATAGCATTTCCATTCCATATCTGATTTCATTTGAGATTGATAAATTTGCAACTTAGTCCGTTCAAGTCACAATTTCTCATGTATTTATGGTCCAAGCTTAAGAATATTCATATGGCTGGAAAGAAAATAAATTAATCTTTCTAAATATGTAATTTGTATGTGCTTTTCCACTGAATTATTATTTTTTTTTTTTTTACAGAAAACGGTATTTTGCTTTGACCAGTTGAAAATGCAAAATATGATTTTTTTTAGACTTAATTTTACACGTTACTTTGTTCCTCAAAATCAAAATGACCAATCTTTATCAATATTCTTGAAATTGTACACTCAACTAGAAGACACTTAAACTACGACCAGGAAGATGTTCATTCCTTCTCTGACCAAAGGAAATGGATTTCTTCAAAAATTATAAAGTAAGCAAAAAGAAAAAAAAAAGAAAAGAAAAAGGCAACTAATAGTAATAAATGTGTGGTAAAAGAACTTTCAAGTTATTGAAACTAGTGTCTGACACTGACTAGTGACTAAGAAAGAATAATTTTTACTTCGGGTTTAAAAAAAAAAATGACTTGCAGTTTTGAAAATATACACATTTTAAAACTGAGATTAAAGCTTTATTTTTTATATCTAATTTTAGGTGTATTCGCTAGATAGAGACAATTTTATTTATAAAAAACAAACAATTTTACACAAGAGACTCATGGAAATATACACATTTTAAAAGAGAAATTAAGAACTATTTTAATTATTCTTAATATCTAATTTAGGTGCATTCCCTATATAAAAAAACAAATTTATTTAGAAAAAAAAATCTTCATACATTTTTCTCGTTTACAACTTTATTTCATGATTGGTGAACACTGGCTTATTCGAAACAATTACATACAACCCTTACAAAAAATCTGACTTCATAAAATTTAACATTAAGACAAAACTCGCAACTATTTTTTATTTTTACTTGCTATTTTGTTAACTTAATTTTACCATAAAAAGTTTTTTTTTTTTAAAACTGAAACAAATAGATTTCAGACATCATTTCCTAAAACTAGTCAATTAAAAAATGTTTTTAACATTTTTGTTCAATCTTTTTCTCTTACAATGGTATAAATGTTGATAAAATTTAATTTTATAATCATCTGAAAGTCTTTTTCAATAGTGTTTCTTTGGATATGGTCACTCAGTAGTGATAGTACTTAAAAAAAAAAAACGAACAATTTCGGTTTCATAAAAAATTTTGACGCAGTTTCACGGTGTGAAGATGAAACCGAAAAAAAGTTGGTTTTCCAGTTAAACTGCCCATCTCTTGTTGCAATGGTCAACTATTCTCCTAGAACAGCCTACAGGAACTGCTATTCACTTTAACAGCTTTCACTTTTAATGGCCAGACTTCTTTTTTTTCTCCAATAATAATTTGCTAGTCTTGTATTGAACCTGTGTTCAGGTATTCTAAATGACAAGGTATGATTATACCACCTCTTTTTTATGTTTTTGCACTTCCACTGTGATTTTCTATCTTGGTACAATACACTAGCCCTTCTGTGCAACATACCCCATTTAAGGGACAATTATTTTTTCTTCTGCAGTTATAAAGAACCTTAGTCCCACTCCTCACAGTTTCTTGAAGATTTGAATTTCTTTTGTTGAACATTTTAATAATGTTGCCTATGTTGCTAGTGCAACTGTAGCTCAACTCGACTGTGTTGCAATTAAATAATTTGTACAACCTAGACTTTTTGGGGAAATGCTTATTTAAAAGGCTAAAAAATATTTTCCCTATATTAGTTCTTACTTGCATGTTGAAGAGTGGGTTGAACCAGATAACATTACTTTTTTTTTTCAATCACCCGTTCTTAGATTTACTTGGTCCTTGAAACACAAGTTGATATTGTGCCCTTCCTATCGTAATGCAGGTACATATTTTTCTTTTTTTTTTTTATTAATATTTCTTCATTTGAAGAATTTTTCAATAGTTTGCTTTGCACGCCTAATGGGATATGTCTGATCACACTTGACGAGTGGTTGGATGCCATGTTTATGTATCTCATAGCTGTATTAATGGTGAAATAGTTTCAGTCAACAGGTTTAGCTCTATGTCTAAAAACTGGACTACTTTCCCATTGATTTCTATTGTAATGTCGAAATCCAGCTCTTTAAATATCTTGTGTAGTTTTTTCCTGATAGAATAATTTTTTCTTTTATTATCTGGTACCACCATTAGTCCATCATAATAGTAAATTCTGTGGTTGTTGAAGTGGACAATATTATTTATTTTGCTCAAACTGTAGATGCCCATCAGTTCTGACACTACTGCCCTGTCATGCGATCATTGGGGAACATCGAAATTACCAGCTTTATATTTCTTGATCCATGCTTCACCACCATGAAATGATACCGATTTACACAAAGGTAGGATGATTTTAATCTGTTCAGGCTTTAAACATACAAGGTCCTTGACAAATGGCAAAGCTTCCAATAAACATTCATTTTAGTGTTGTCTCTAATGATTCTACTGAGTTAACCACTTGATAAGATCTTGGCATTTGAAACCATGGTAGTATTCCATTCAGTATTTTATTATTTTAGAATATATATATATATATATATATTAATCTATAACAAAGTGGAAAAGTTTTCATGTGATGCATTTCATCCTTTATATTCCATCGAACTAAAGTGATGTTTAACGTTGATGCAATTACATATGTGCACAAAGGAGAGGGGATGCTAAGAATATAAATTAAACAAATGTTTTTTTTTTTAAAATATATGTTTTGGGTTCATTAGAATATAAACCTAAAACAATTTTAGTTAGTTTCTTTTTCTTCGTTTCACTTTTGACATTAAACGTTAGGATAATAGAAGATATGTGAGATATTTAATAATGTTTTACTTTTTTTTGGTCATGTATAAAGTTTTTATTTTAGTTTCAAAAACTAAAAACCCAGCTGAAAAAAAAAATAAAGCTAAAATTAAGAATTATTAAGTTGAAAGATTTACTAGAAATAAATAAAATAAATGAATCTGTTGTTTTCTAATAATTTTTTACTGACCATGTTCACTGTATATTGGTCACAAAATTCCCAACATTTAAAAAAAAAAAAAAAAAAATTTCAAATTTGTTTAATTTCATTTTTACACCTGAGCAAATACAATCAAATAAAAATAAAGAGAAAACACAGTGTGGATTCTACTTTTAGATATATATTAAAAAGCTAATTTTAATAACAGTGGCATTATATAATTTGCCATAACAATTAACAATGAATAAATTGGAATTTTTTTTACCTCTATCATGAAGAGCCAAAAGGACATCATTTCCTAAGCATGTGCGATAAAGGTAACCAGGAATTGGTTTACCAGCCCAATCAGAGCTTTCATCAAACGCCTGTCTATTTGGTGCATGTGGATCTGGTTCAGCCAAAATATAGCGGTAGCCATCTTTGTTGAATGGATGCTCCAGAGGGTAGCCATGGGGGGCAAGCTTCATAGCAGAATTCATTTCACTAAAATTAATAAAAGAAACAAAAAAATCATTAATACTAGTCAAGAGTTTGAGTGATTTTTGTAAAATAAAGAGTTATTTCCCTCAAATTAAACACTTTTTTTATGTACTGCATCCTTTAGGACATGTGTGATCAGATCTCCCCTCAACTTCCTATCCTTTGTAGTTCTTAATGTATTTTTACTATCCCTTCCACGCCCTACTCTACCATCTATTTACACAAGTTCGTTAGGTAGGTAACTTATTATTTTCCTCTGTTCCACTTGCCTTCAATATTTCCTGTGGCCATGAAATTCTCTCTTTTCTCATTAAATGTCCCATAAATTTCAACTGTCTCTTTCTAATCCTAACTATAATTGCCCTTTTTATTTCCATTTTCTCTAAAACTTTGTCATTGCTCACATATTTGGCCCATGGTATTCTCAGTATCCTTCTGTAGAACCACATCTGTTGCCTCATGTCACTTCTTCAATTGTGAGGAAATAATCCAGAATTCACTGCCATATAGCAGGATTGATATTACAAAGCAGTTCAGCATTTTTTAGTTTCGAATGAAACTTTCCAGTTTCTTAATACTTTACTTAGCTTTTGGAAGGTTATCTTTTGTGATCCCAATGTTCCGTTGGATTTTGGTGTCATATTTTGTCATCTGTTAAAAAACTAACCCAGATATTTAAAATTTGTGCTTGTTTGATTTTGACATCTCGAATTTGTGGCTTGCATCTTGAGTTGTCCCAGCTGCTGACAACCAGACATTGTTTTCATATAACTTTCTTCTCACTTTCCTTTACTACCTTGTTGAAGAGTTTTTATAGTTTTCTTTCTGTATCTGCCATCCACAGGGTGTCTTCTGCATATCTTATGTTGTCAAGATTGTGTTCACTAATAAGGGGAAGGCTTCTAGTTCTCATAGTATAAAGATCAATCTAATCTTCTTCAGATTACCTCACTGTAGAGATTAAAGAAATCCAGTGAGAGGAGGAATGATTGTCTTACACCTCTTCCTATTTGCTTGCTCAACTCGTTTTCTATCCATTTGTAATAGCTTTGCTGTCAGTAAATATTTTGAATTATTCTAATATATTTCCTTAATGAATCAAGTTTTCCTTGCAGTTCAAATAGATCTTTGCATTGTACCTTATCAAATGCTTTTGCTATACTATGTAACATAGATATAGGTCCTTCTGTATCTGTATTGCTCACTCTGATATTATTCTAATCAGCAATATTGCATTTCTTGTTCAAGTATTTTTAACAGAACCTCTATTTTTGTCATATATCCAGTCTAGTTCTGGCACATGGTCCATTCCTCAAGACCTGGATGACAAGCTTAGTTATACAGCACATTAAACTAACAGTCTGATAGAGTTCGCAATAATTTTGCTATGAAAATGCACCTACTAATGTCTTCCAATATGTTGACACTGTCATATATTTAATTTATTATTTTCATATTCTTGTCAATCCCAAAATTATCTAAGAATTAAGCATAGTGTTTTTAATTTATAAATAGTCCTTCATATTTTCTAACATAATTAGATTTCTCAATAGCAGCTTCATGCTGGTTATGACGATAAACTAGATCCAACAGCAAGGCCCCTGATCGGGAGGTTTTGAGGAACATGGAACCGCCTCTTATTTACTGTTGTTCCCTTAGTTCACCCTGACCCAAAGTGGTAGCACCTGTTAGGGTCCCAGCTGTGGGCAAATAGTTAACTCTTAAACTGAAAGTATAAAAATAGATTTCTATAGTAAAAATACCAGCAATACATTTTTGAAAAAAAAAATATTATCAGCAATACATTTGACTCTCAACAAAAACCCTCTTTATAAAAATATATCAATGAAGCCTGATCTCCTACAAACTGATTTTTCACAAAGAATAAATATTCTATTCATACAAACCTATCTTAAAAATCTTGTTGGATTTAAGATAACCTATTGAGGTTGATATGCTGTAAAACAAAATAAAACAAACCAAACCAGTTTACTTATGCAGTAATTTATTCAAATTGGTATCCTCATCTTGGTTGTTAGTCACAATGTTTCTTACCTCTAGCCTTCTTCAGAAAATTCATTTATTTCTCTAGTGTGAAGTAAATAGAACAGCCTTGACAGAATTTGAACTCAGCTCACTAATTCCACTATACTGTATGCACATCCACTAACAATTACTTATAAATACCTATATTAAATAAATGTAATAAATATCCATATAAAATATAGATATTACATATCTATTAATACATTATATATTATTGCATATCTTTTAATATATCTATATTAAATAAATATACTAAATAATAGCTGACCACTCCTATCTGAATATGCCTGTCTGCTAGGTTAGCTCGCCAATCCCTGTTGCAGACACCTGCTCAGGTGCATTTGTGTTTGTTCAACATCCACAGAGCCTACAAGTGGTTTATACTGCAACTACAGTGAGCACACATTTAGTAAGAGTTATTGAGAAAGAGTGCATCATCTGATATGATCAACAGTTTGAACGAGGCCAGTACGCTCAAACCCTTGGTTACTTGGTTAGATTTGTGACTATGTGCTAGTACAACCATCAACAAATGATTCTATCTACACAATTTCACTCACAAGGCTTGGGTCAACCTGCAGTATTGCTTTCACACATTTTCCAAAGATTCTGCATTCTGGGATCACCTCCCCAACTTCAAGACATAACCTTCCTGGTGAGATTCAAATCCAGATCTCATGGTTGAAAAGTGAATGGTCTAACCAGTTGGCTATGTGACTGTCATAAAAGAACGTTACATGATGCTAATTTTATAACAGTATTTTTTTTCAATGTAGACATTTAAATTGAATTCACAGTTGAAATTCAGTTTTAAGTGTTTTGTATTAAGAAAAAGAGGAAAGAAAAATGACAATACACAAGATAAATGTTCATATTTAGGAAAAAAGATTTCATTATTATTACTGAATCAGATGAAAGTTAATATTTAAAAAGTATATTCCACTCCCACTAGTTTTCATTTGGTTAAAGCAGTGATTCTCAACCACCATGCCACAAGAGCTTAAGTGTGCCATGAAATATTGTAACGACATACATATATATGTGCATGTGTGTGTGTGGAAGTATAATATCAGTATTTTACTAAATAAGCTACACAAATAGTTGAATAGAAACATTGAAATAAAATAAGTTCATATTTATGTGTGTATTTTTTTTTAATCTATGGTTTTATTTCATAATATTTAAATGTATACCCTTTAAAAATTTTGCTAAGTGTGTTGTGATATTTTCATTTTCTCCTAGGTGTGCCATTGCTTAAAAAGGTTGATAAACACTGAGTTAAAGAATACTAATGCTATTTTTCAATTTGCCATCTGGATCTGGCAAAAATCCCATTCGTTCCTATTACCAAATACCAGAGACAAGACAAAGCCTATACAAAGACTAGAATTATGAAAAAAAAAATAAAATAAATGTTAACAAGTGGATAACAAATGGTAAAATGATGCACTAATATTACTCTGTGGGTTCAAATATTAAGAAAATCTTTAATTTTATTTTAACCTATTATTATTAATTACCAACTTTTAACATACAATGTGTGTTAGCACGTGTGATACCCTATCTTCATCAGCCGCCAGCCAGGGGTGACATCATGGTTTCAGTGGCTATGGCGGGACCGCCACCCCTGGTGCCACCAGGCAGGGTATGAAGATAAGCTAATTGATCGTTCCTTTAAGTAAATTCTATCTGTAATGAAAGTTTCCTGAACGCATTTGCCGTTATTGACGCGCTCGTAAAAATCGTTATAGACGACCATGCAAATATTTCACTTGCACATGTTATGTCGTGATGTTGCACGCATTTTATTTGATTGTTTTGATCTCGACTAAATCCAACTTGACGTGTGTTGAACAGTTTTTTGAATGCGATGCAAAATGCTTTTCAACCAACGGCCAGTGATACCTATTTTTGAAAGGAAGGAAATGACCGAATGTCCCAGAAACCCACAACACCCAATCTCAATAGGCATCACGTTACACGTCCAACCATTTTCCATACATTTGGCACATTCTTTTTAATTCAATGTAACCAGGTTAAGAAATTATCCAAAAGTTGATAACATCTAAATAAGAAAGGAAATAAAAGAAAATGAAGATGTGAAACCTTTTCTTCTGTTTGGTCCCAGTCTGTTGAGCACCGTCAAGGGGAGCTTTCCTCTTGTTGCCACGTCCTTTGGAAGCTAGAATAAACACAAGATTATATCACAACTTCTTCAAAGTTTAATAAATGAAAACTCTCAGACAAATGTTAAGTCTTCAACTAAACATGAATATTGTTTTTTTAATTAAGATTTGGATACTAAATGAAATAAACATTTTTCTGAGAATAAACATTTACTAAATCAAATTGTCTTCTGAAGACTTCCTAGACATTAAGAGATGAAAAACATCTCTTCAAGAGAAAACTTCTGCAGTATTTAATCTTGAGATGTTCTGTGTGTGTATATATATAAGTTATGAAGAACTTGGTAAACCGAATGGGTAATTCCAAGGAGGATGAAATCCTGAGAGCTCAATGTGAATACAGAGCTAATATTTAATGAAAAACAGACCACTTTAAGGTACCATTACAATAATTTATTTCACCAAAATCCTTTTTAAAGGATTCCAGATCATCAGGTAACAATTCCAACAATGAAATGAAAGGAAAAATGGGATTAGAAATTGATGGGTAGTGTAATTTTTGTAATTTAACAGGGGGGGGTGAGAGTGGTAGGTAAAGAGACAAGGTAGAATATAGGGAGGGGTTAATTTCATATCTCTCTTAAGCATGCTTTATATTGGGGTAGGAGAAGTGACCGAACCTTGACCTATTTAGATGGCTAACTTAACGGAAATGATATGTAGGAATGGGAGGAGAGAAAAGAAAAGGAAAAAAGAGAGGAGACAGACAACAGTAATACAGATATATCCAAATGAGTGATATGAAATTAACCCCTCCCTATACTCTACCTTGTCTCTTTACCTACCACTCTCACCCCCCCCTCCCTGTTAAATTACAAAAATTACACTACCCATCAATTTCTAATCTCATTTTTTCCTTTCATTTCGTTGTTGGAATTGTTACCTGATGATCCGGAGTCCTTTAAAAAGGATTTTGGTGAAATAAATTATTGTAATGGTACCTTAAAGTGGTCTGTTTTTCATTAAATTTAATTATATATATATATATATATATATATATATATATATATGATGTAATGAATATGCATACACCTGGGTTCCCCCTCACAGTAATATGATTGGCTGGTGTCAGACATAAATACAGACTGATGTGGAGGTACATGGATGACGCCTATTGCCTACCACTACGACGAGGACCAGTCCATTATGATTACCTGCTAGATTGTCCTACCCGGTTACAGTAATCAACAACCACTTTGCTACTTCAAACAAATATATCCCTTTCCGGGACATATCAGTTGGTGACAAGATTCAAAACGACCTCACAAGTTAAAACAAAAGAAAAAAAATATACAGTTGACAACACTTACTAACAAAGAACGTTAGAAAGACTTGTTCAATGCTTACAGAAAGTAAGTAATTTTCCCCTCATTTTTGTTTTAACACTTATTAATGAGGAACGTTAGAAAAGGAAAGACTTGTGCAACTCTTACAGAAAGTAAGAAATCCCCTCCCCTTTTGTTTGGACTTAGAAAATTTTATTGTCTACATAAATTGGAGCAAAATTTTTTCTTGTGGATACTTTGGCAGAATGGAACAAATTGCAGAATTAACTAAGGTGCAACAATTCCAACAACAACAACAATTTATTCAGCAACAAGAAAGGTTTAAAAAGTTATTCAAACAACAGGCAAAAGACAATAAATCACTTTGGGAAGATGTATTATCTAGGACAACAAAAGAACCGGGTTCTAGATTTTTTTCTCCTAAAGGAATTTCAAATTCACTTTCTGAATTTAAATACGACCCTGACAGTGGTTCAATGTTTCCGGCTTATTTTTGTAGGTTTGAAACAATATGAAAAGATGCGAACAATGGTCTAACGAGGAAAAAAAAAAAAAAAAAAAAAAAAAAATCACTATTGTTGCAGAAGTTGGGAACAGAAATACAAAATATGCGAATTTAATTCTCCCAAAGAAGCCACAAGAAATTACATTCAGCAAAACAATAGAAATTTTGTCAAAAATTTTCGATAAAAGAAATAGTTTGTCTCATACACGATACAAGTATCTAAATATCGTAAAACAAGAGGCTGATGATTTTGTCACATATGCAGGTATGGTTAACGCACAGTGTGAGACATTTAAATTAAAGGAATTGTCAAGCGACATGTTCAAGTGTCAAAATTTTGTGTAGGGTCTAACGACACCAAAGGACAAAGAAATTAGATCAAGAATCCTCACTATTATGGAACAGGATATGAAGATTACGCTACAAAATATAAGAGAAGAATGTCAGCGACTTATAAACATAAAAAAAGATAATACTCGGATTGAGGAGAAGAGCATTTCGCGAGTACAAACTGTAAGACAACAGAAGTGGATACAAAATAAAGAAAGAAAAATTAAATGCAGTTCGTGTGGAGGACAGTATACAAAGAAGGATTTTTTCTTTAGGGATAAAATATGTTTTAATTGTGGGTATGTAGGCCATAGAAGTTCCCATTGTCGGGCAAAACAGAGTAAAGTAAAAGCAAAGTCTCAAACAAAGGTGAACGTAGTTTTGTCTAAAAAACGAAATTGAGGAGGGTCAAAGAAGAAAATACCTCAATGTAAAAATAAATGGGCAGACTGTAAAATTATTACTCGATTCAGGAAGTGATATCTCGGTAATAAACGAGCAAACATGGAAAAAAAAAAAATCGGTTACCTGCCATTGACTGACACAGACAAAATTGCCAGGGGAGTGTCAGGAAAAAGATTTAAGTTTAGAGGGGAATTAAAATGTAACATTGCGTTCATGGGGAAAATTCGCAAATCGAAAGTGTATGTGCTCCCTGGTTCAGTAAACCTCTTTTGTTTAGACTGGATTGTATTGTTTAATTTATGGGAATTACCAGTAAATTCTTTCTGTAACAAAGTTAACATCATAGAGAACCATAAGATGAAGCAAACAGAAAGATTTATTACGGATTTGAAAGGCGAATTCCTTTGAGTCTTTTCAGAAGGACTAGGTCTGTGCACAAAAACAGAAGTCAACTTCGAATTGAAAGAAAATGTTAAACCAATCTTTAAACCAAAGAGAAAAGTACCATTTTCAGCACTAGACACAATAAATGAGGAATTAGAAAGGTTGGAGATATTCGCTGATATGTACATGTTAAAGAAGATAAAAAAGTGTTCGTATTGTGGATGTGAACACGAAATAAAAAAGGAAAAATGTCCAGCATTTGGAAAAATTTGTAATAATTGCTTTAAAAAGAACCACTTTCAAACAGTGTGTAAATTAAAAAAGAAAAACATTGAAAGAATTGAAGAAAACAACACCAATAGGGACGTTTTTACATTAAAAAATAAGAGTATAAAAAAAATTGAACATAAGAAAAAAGACATTATAGTAAAGGTCAAAATTAATAACTGCAATTTAGATATGCAAATGGATACTGGGAGTGAACTAACACTGATACCAAAAAATTTTTGGGAATGCATTGGTAAGCCACCTTTACGAAAGAGCAGTTTACAACTCCGCCAATTTGATGGGTCGGTTATAAAAACATTAGGATACTTTGAAGGTTCCTTAGAGTTAAAAGACAAATTTTAAGTAATACCTATAGTTGCTACAAGTTGCGAAAAGAACCACTGACTTATTGGAAACGACGTGCTTAACATAAATTCTACCAAGTTAATTAATGAAATAAAAATGGAAAAAACTGGAAAGTTAAAAAACTATGAAGCAAGTTTAAAAGTAAAAGAAAATGTTTCTCCCTCTTATTATGAGGCACAAAAATTACCAGTACATTTATTGCCATTAGTAGTGACAAAACTACGTAAATTAGTAGAACAAGACCTTCTTGAACATGTTCCACCTGGAGGTAGTAAATGGGCATCACCCATTGTAGTGTTGAGGAAAACAGATGGTGATTTACGTATTTGTGGAGATTACAAAATAGGAGTAAATCACAAGATATGCTCGGATTCATATCACATACCCAATGTTGAACTTGTATTACATGCACTGGCAGGAATTAACGTTTTTTCAAAAATAAATTTAAAAACGGCATACCACCAAATACCAATAGACGAGAACTTCAAAGAAGTAACCACAATAAATACGCCAATAGGGTTACTAAGATGGAAAAGGATGCCATATGGAATAAAAACCGCAAGCGCCATATTTCAAAGGGCCATTGAACAGGTTTAGGAAATATACAAAATATGATTTGTTACCAAGATGACATATGCATAGGAGCTACTAATGAAAAGGAATTAAAAGAGAAAACTGAATTAATCTTGAATAGATTAAGAAATGCTGGAATGACAATAAATGAAAAAAAATGCATAAGCAATTCTAACAAAATATCTTTTTTAAGTTATTACATTTCAAAAGAAGGTATATCACTAGACCAAGCCTTGATAGAAAAAATACTAAAAGTAGCTACACCTACAAATAAAAAAGAAATGGAGTCTTTTTTGGGATTGGTAAATTTTTACAGGTGATACTTACCAAAATACACGGACTTGACGGAACCGTTTGCAAATTTAAGAAAAAAGAATGTGGAATTTATGTGGTCAGACGAACAGCAAAAAGCTTTTGAAAGATTAAAAGAAATTATGTCAAAGAAACCTGTAGTGAAAATTTTTGATCCAAAAAAGGACATAACACTCACTACAGATGCAAGTGAACATTCAATATCGGGAATATTATCACAAGAAGGACATCCGATAATGTATTTATCGAGAAGATTAACGAACACTGAATTCAATTACTCAAACATAGAGAAAGAAGCATTGGCTATCGTGTTGACAACTACTAGAGCCATACAATTTTTAATTGGAAAAAAATTTCTAAGTGATCATAGACCATTAGAGTTTATATTTAACCCAAGGAAAGAATTACCCAAAGTCACGACATCGAGGATTCTACGATGGGCGATAAGATTAATGGCATTTGACTTTGATATAGATTATGTCAAAGGAAATTCAATTCCACATGTGGACACACTATCAAGATTGAGGTTATACAAGGAGTCAAAAGAAAAAACAGAGGAAGAATTTGAAGATTCATTCCTACATTTAATAGAGACTGACGTTTTGTCTTTAGATAGAATGGCTGTGGAAACGAGACATGATCCAGTGCTAAGTAGGATAGTATTGAGAATAAGAAAAAACTCATGGGGAAATTGTTCTAGGGAAGAAAGACCCTATAAAGAAATGACACAAATTAACAATAGAACATGGAGTGATTTGTAATGGGGACCTGGTAGTTCCCCCAGAAACACAAAGAAAACTGATAATAGAAAGTGTACATGATGATATACACTGTGGAGTAGCGGCCACACAAAAAAAAAGGATAAAATTAGAAGCTTGGTGGCCAGGATATTCAAGAGATGTCGGGGAATATGTAAAAAGGTGCAAAAAATGTAAAGGATTAAGAAACTTTACACAAACCAAATTACATTTGTGGCCCAAAGAAGTGGAGCCATAGAGTCGTGTGCATATGGATCATACATACATTAATGGAGTGGGACTCTTATTAATACTAGTACTCTTTTTCAGGTTGGCTTGAAATAATCCGGGTTAAAAACAAGAAAAGTTCTACAATAAAGCAGATTCTAAGAGTCATATTTTCCAGAAATGGCATACCAAAAACCTTGGTATCTGATAATGCACCAGAATTTTGTGATGAAGAACTTAATGTATGGTTAGAAAAAATACAGTGTAAACCATATAAGACACCTCCATTACATCTTCAATCGAACAGATTAGCAGAAAGAATGGTGCAGACCGTAAAAAAGGGACTAAAAGCATGCTCTCAGCAAAAAGAAAAAGTAGAAGTTTTTCTACTGAGGCTGCTTTTAAGTTATCGTATGATAACACATGTGAGAAGACTAGAAAGCCCATCAGCTTTAATGGAAAGACAGATTAGAGCTCCACTAACGATGTTGTATTCTACAAATGAAAAAATGTGGTACAAAAAGATGTAGATCCGGAAAGGGCAGAATTTATCATGCAAAAAGGCCACAATACAGCTATAATAAATAGAGAAAATGGCAATAGTGTATTAGCCCATGCAGACCAAATAAGGACCCAGGGTGAAGAGGAAGAGCAAAACGACAAAGAAATGTCTTCAATTCTATCTGATAACGAGTTGGTAGAACAACCATTACCGAAGGAAACATCAGAAGACGAAAAATGCAGGATCAAGAGAGCCAGAATGAGTCTGAAAGTTCGGACGAAGACTAGATAATGCAAGCAAACACATATGACTACAGCCTAGCACGGGACAGATCTAGGTCTCACAGGGAAAGAAATACGGGAGAAAGAGAAGTAGAGCAAAGTGATGAAAATAGCATGAGAAGGAGTACAAGATCTACGAGAGGAATAAAACTCTTACGTTTCAGAGAGATGTAGTGATACTAGCAAATTAGTATGCATAATTTGCATAAGCACAAGTGAACACTCATATAAGTGGTCACTGAGAATAACGAAGGGGTAAAACGAGCTTAGCGGCTGATTAGTGCTAACCTCTACATCACAACAGAAACTTTACCAATATGAATATGTTTTTTATTTTTTACACTATTGTTCACCCAACACAAGGCCCAGGGTTATTGAATGAGGTTGTTTTATGAATGTAGGAGGAGGAGGTAAGAAGTGCAGATTATGAGGATATAAAGGATAGATAATAGTTGACCCTAATCTTGAAGGGGTTAAGGTTGTATTAATTGGGAAAGCATACACTCAGGAGTCTGTTCCACAAAGCAGCAGCAGCTCTTAGGAAGAATCAGTCCAAATGGAACTTCTTTCTTACCAATGGAATACGAAGGGAATGAGGATGATTCAACCCTGTGTATGTGGCATGGCAAGTCTTAGCTGTAAAGGTCTGAACTGGCAGAATTAAGGAATTTAGCTCATCAGAACATTTTCCATGGAAATAGTGATAGAGTAGCAAAAGGCTTGCAATGTTTCCAAATGATTGAATTGTAATATTATTTATCCCTAAGATTCACAATCTTTTTTTGGTCATTTCTGGTAACTAAAATTCCTTAGTCATTCAATATTTCTGCATAATTGCAGAGCACAATACAAATTTATCAACAAATTTACAATATATCAAAGCAATAAATACACAAAAGAAACAAATCTACTTTTTAATCAAAGAAAGTTTATCAATTTTTTATATATTTAAAAAAAAAAAAGGAAACAAAGTTAGCATGTATAATTATTCATAGAAAACAATCTAAAGTACAGCTTGGGTAATTTATTTTAGAGTTATAATGCAGTTACTTTATTAAAACTGCAACAATGCATTCCTAAATTAAAGAATAACAAATAAAAATGCATTAGTATGCTTTTTGTAATGCCTGAGCAACAGGCCAGATGATTCAACTATTAAAAAAAATATTTAAAAACTTACTTGGCCCTTCCGTCAGACCACTGCTGCCCTTTGGATCAGCACCTTTGTTCATAATGATACTTTTTATAGGCTCATAATTAGGGCTAATTTTTTCCAAATCCTGAAAAAAAAAAAAGAAAAGAAAAGAGAGAGAATATATTAGATATGTGTGGAAGTTCTCAAGTGATCATTTTTTAAAAATTATAAGAGATTAAAATTCACAGTTGAAAATCAATTTTGAGTGTTTTGTATTTAGCGTTTATTTCTTTTGTGATGGAAGAAGAAAAAAAGAAAAAGAAAATGGCAGCAGACAAGATACATATGCAACAGTTTATATTGCTCCTTTTAAGTTGGGTAAGACAACAGCAAAAGTAAAAAAAATGATTTGTTAAAAATCAATACATTTTGTGAGCAGTTTGTGAGGTTTAAGAAAAGTGAATTTGAATTGGAGGATGAACCACGCAGTGGTAGAATACAAGAACTTGCAACTGATGGCATGTAAACTTTTTTTGAAATATTATCCTCACTCAATCCATATTGGAAATGTCTGAAAAATTGTGTTGATCACTCAATTTGCAAAGTATGAGGAAGATACAAAAACCAGGAAAATGGGCCCCACATGAATTGTCAAGAGTGTAACATTGGACTGTCTCACCAATGCATTTCATTTTTTTGCCAGATATGAAAAAATCTTTCTTGTGAAAGACTGTCATGGGAAATATCGAGTGGGCACATTGCAATAATCTAAAGTGTCAAAAATCCTGGATCCAGAATAACCAATAGTATCAACAACAAAACCTAACATATTGGGGGAAAATGATTTGATGGGATATAAAAGGTGTACTGTATTAGGAATTGTTGAAGTCTGTACAAAACTCTTATTGCAGAGCAACTTATATAACATATTATACATCATTATAACATATATAACTATTACTTCAGAGCATTATAGTCCCTGCCTTCACATTTTGTGAATTGCAACTGAAAAAAGAAATGGCTATTTACAAAGTTGGGGAGCTAGAAAGTAATACTGCTGCATGCCAATGCTCATCAATATGCTTCTTTGTCAATTCCAAAAGTCACAAAGAAGTTGAGAAAGGAAATTCTTTCTTATATGGCATATTTCACCAGACTTAATGCTAATGGATTACCATTCATTTTGGTCAATGCCACATCCTTATTTGGTCAAAAATTTAAATTTCAATGTTTTTGATGTTCTAAACTTCATTGGCAGCTTGGTTTTAAAACCAGAGAGGTTTTTATCAAAATGAAACCTAAAAATATGTACTAATTATTACTAAAAATACTGGGACCTTTTTAACACACTTAATAAAATTATTTTTCTTAATTAAATAAAACTAAGAATTAAGATGAGTATTTAAACTTTAATAAAATGTTAATAAATGTTTAACAAAATGACTGACAATCTTGTAAATATGTAAAAAAAATAGTCTTATTTGACAAGTTCTTGGTGAGAATCAAATTCATTAACAATGGCTTCTAAGACTAGTTTCCTTAAATACAATAAACACCTACCTGTAAAGACATTCCAGTATATAAGTTATTTAAAAGTTGACAAGCAAGCATCAAATCTGTTACTAATAAGATTATAACTTTTAGTAGTAAACTACTGAAAAAAGGTGTGACAGATATATCCTGGCATATTCTGATATTCAGATTTCAATGACTCACAACCAAGCCTTTAAGAGAAATACTAACAAAAATAAAATAAAAACAATTTACAGCAAGTAAAAATAAAATTGTATATTACATATCATTTACGAAAGATTCTTATATGTTACAAGAATGTTCAAAATGACTAATCTTGTTAAAAATTGAGATAAGCTATAAAAGCTCTTGAAAAAATACATTATACCCTAGTTAGATAAATGTTTAGCAACTTACTTCTTTTATCAATAAGTGTTATCATAATAGTGAGAAAAAAATTAAACTGTGATAGCATAAAAAGAAACATTTTTTTTTTAAATATAATAATATTAAAGCCATTTAAAAAAATATAATAATATTTAAAGCCATTTAAAAAAAAATGCTACAATTGATAAGGAAATGAAAATATTTTCTTACCGGATTGACAAGGCCAAAATGTGGATCTCCGGGAATCTCTTCACTACAAAGGAATATATCAGCATCTTTGGTCTAGAAATCAGAAGAAAGAAAGAAAAAAAAAGAAAACCACTGACCTTGATCTGAGGGGTTAAGTAGTTTAATTTGTATTCATGTTAAAAAGAATTTATGCTATTCATTTCTACTAAAGCAAACAATTTACTCTAGGATGATAACATTTGTAGATCATTGAATTAATCAGTAGAAAGACAACAGTGCAAAGTTGATTATGTATGTTATAATTCATTTTGGAAAGAAAACTGAATTAAAACCAAAACTTAATAAACTAATAAACCCAAGTGAAATATCAATCTTCTAAGGAAAATGAAAGTAAACTAGAAAGTAACAGAAAAAATATTGTTGACCTCATTAGACATTCTTATACTTTCAAAATCATAAATCTAATACAAATGTAAATACTGATAGTTCACAACAATATCAAATTCTACATTATATATATAGAAATGGTTATATCTGAAGTGTAGGATAGTTTTTAATCAATCATTGTTTGCATCTGCCAATTGGAAAATCATACTTCCTAAGTTCATAAACTATTTTTATCATTTAGTATAAGAATTTATTTTTTTAAATATAGTTTAACTAGAAATTTGTAATAAATGGGACTAAGTGTCCTTGATGTTGGGTTCGTTTGTGATGCTACCATTTTTTATTTCCATGACAGCGAATGTGTGAATGCTACCTTGAATGATCAATGATCACTTTTTACCTGATCATTGAGATGTGAGGAAGCAGTGGATTTTAGAAGTGTTGAGATGGTGGTTCTTTGGGGGAATCAATGACAACAAATTTCATGCAATATTCCAGATGTGGAATTAAGAAACTATACTACTAGAAAATGTTCCTTTTAAAATTACTGAAAAAAGTCTTCCTTACTTAAAGAAGGTTAATATTTTCAATGAAACTATTAAGTCAGCAACCAATAAAAAAATTAAAAATTCCTACTCAAAGTATTGTAAATCATATAAGTTTAGAATTTCTTTTTTGTTTGAATATCTGGGGTTTTACATTTGAACAACTGTCCTCATCTTTCTTGCTATTATCACATTTCAGCCATTGTGCCCTTCAGGTCTTTGTCAATTCAAGTAACCTTCAAATAATTTTAAAATTCCCTGAAGACTATCCAGATCAACAAGCACCTGAAGAGTGGTCATGAACACAATGGCTGATATGTGATAACAACAAACAATAGTTTGTGCAAATAATGCAAATATTTTTTTCTTTATTAAGTTGTAATTTTTCTGATGTCATAAAAAAAAGTTAAACAGAAAAATGTAATATTTTTATTGCATGCTTCCTATTAACACTGAACAATTAAATTTTATGATAGCACTATTAACATACAAGATAAATCAAAAATTTTAAATTGAAATATTAATTTTTTTTTACTAACAAAGAAGGTATATTTGAAAGTTTTTTTTTTTTATTCTAGTAGTATAAACTCGTTTTCTTACTATTTTCCTTTCAAACTCCATGCAAGAAATACTTCAAAAATTTAAAAAATTTTGTACAATACACTGATGAATAAAAACCTTGGAGGAGTGTCTAATAGTTGAAAGTGAATTCCAGAGTATATTAACGCATGCACATGCACACATGCACGTACACAGGAGAAGGAGTTGAAAAGCTCTCAGCCTAACCCACTTAAAATCAATAATTCAATGGCCAATTATAAGAATTTTTTTTTGAAGGCTTAAAAAACTTAGAGAATTGACAGAGGGCTACCCTGATTGTATTCATGAGTGAACATGAAGTTTTATTTCTGAAAAGGTGTAATTTCAAGCATAAAAATCAATAAATAAAACTTAAACAATTGAGGTAGTTTTATTCATTTATAAGCAAATTTTACATCACATTTAATTATTTAATGGGACAAGTGTATTCTATCACAGCTTCTAACAATTCTTTTGAAATCTGGAGTGAGGTTGCTTGTTGAGATCCTCATTGCTGCCTGCAAATTTATTTCTGTTAAAGAGCATCTATATTCATTCTTGTTAATTTTCATGCAAGAAAAACTTTATTCCCAAATCTATGTTGATCCAAATATACAGAGAATTTTCCCAGCAAATCTCTTCATACATGGAAATTTATCAGTAGACAATGATTTATAAAACTCAATTAATGTCCCAGCATTATACATTTCTTTCAGTGTGTGATCAGCTTGTATGTCTATTAACTCAAGCTGCAGATCCTCAGGTGCTGCATCAACATCAGCAGTGAATGGATAAAACAACAAATTGAATTCAGGCTCAATTTTCTTGAAGTCCTGAAATCTTGTGATTTCATCCTCCAAACTCTGCAAATAACCCCTGATCTTAGCAGAAACACTTTCAAGCACTTTCTCTTTTCCTAATAAAGGGAAATGGCAGAACTTCACCTCACTTACAAATAAGTCTACTTTTGTGTTAAAAGATTTTACATTTTTAATCCCTTTCCCTGCAATGTCACATTCAATTCAGTTTGTCAAATATGTCTGCTGTAAACATCAGTTCATATCTCTACTCGTCACATTCCATTTTGGTCACAAAATCACGTGAAATCCTTTTCATATCTAGAAATGATAGAATTTCATTCTGTAATGCCCAGACTCTTTTTATCACTTTACCCAGGCTCAACCACCTCACACTGTTGTGATAAATTACTCTTTCATATTCTGACTCCATGTACTCAAGCAGAGATTTGAACTGGCAGTGGTTGAATGCACTTGCTTGTATCATGTTGACCACATTTACAACTGGATTGGTTACATGCTTTAAGTCTAGTGCTGCTTTACAAAAGCATTCCTGCTGTAAAAATGCAATGGAAAGTTAATATATCACTGATCAAGTTTTGTGCTTCTAATATGCTTTTTTAAAAATTTAATCATTCCTACATTTTTTCCAGTAAAAGCTCTGGCCCATCTGTGGTTATGCTTGCCATTTTATTTCATGGCAAGCCACATTTCTCATCACAATACACAGCACATTCAAACAGGTCCTGACCAGTGGTTTCCATAGATTTCAGACCAAGTAATTCCTCTGTAATTATGAAATTTGTATCAATTCCATGGATAAAGACAAGTAATTGTGCAGTGTCTTCATTATCCATGCTCTCGAGAGCCAATGAAAACCAAAGTTTTTGCTTGCAGTGTTCAGCTGTTCTTTGAGTTCTCCACTTATTAAGTTAATGTGTCGTACTATTGTCCTTCTTGATAGTGAAATATTTTCAAATTTCCCTTTAACTTCAGGACACACTACACATGCACAATCCACAGTACACTGCTTCACAAACTTGCCAGCCAAAAATGGCTTGTTGTGTTTGGCAAGGTTGTAAGCTACAATGAAACTGGCCTCTGTAGCACTATCATGAAGACCAGCTTGCTTGACGAATATCCATTGTTTCTTAAGCTTTGTAACATACTCTGCAGCTTTTTTTTTTTTTACATTCTTCCTCAGAAAAATTGTTGCAAAATTCTTCATGTTTAGTTTGGTGGTGCCATTTCAGATTATTTTCCTTAAATACGGCAACTGTTTCATTGCAAATTAAGCATACTGCTTTATTACCTATTCTGCAAAAAAAGTATGCGTATCCAGTCATCATTAAATACACAGCATTCATCACCAACCTTGCACTTCTTTGAAGGATTCATGGCTCCACGAGGTAGAAAATTTACTGACTTAACTGTTACAAGGACAAAATTGAAAGAGAAAAGGAAATGGAAAAGTGGGTAGGTTGACTGATTGCGCATACATAGCACATTGGTAAACATGGGTTCAGATCTTGCACAAGGAGGTCAAGTCTACTTTGACCAGGTTATGAAATTTTAGATGTGTTTTTTTTTTTTCTTTTACAAATGTCTCAGCAGGCTGCAGAAAACTCAGCACCAGGTCATATGCAGTCTGCAGTTTGCCCAGGCCTGCTCTAGGCCTTTTGCTGGAAGTGGGGGTCTTGGCCAAGAACATTTTATGACCCCCTTGTATGTAACACCATTTTATTGATGGGCAATTCATCCAGTTCTATGTATTGAACTCTTGATAATATAGTGTTTGAGTGATTAGTTGATTCCTTTTCTATGGCTTTGTAGGTAATTTAAAGCCAGAAAATAATTTTAGATTGTAAGATTTTTTTTTTGAGATAATAATGGTTTAGTGATACAAACTTTATTAATTAACTAATAACAGTGGGGAGAATAGGTGGATTCATACCTTTCCCAAGAATATTTGTGCATAAGTGAATATAACAGACCCAATGGGAATTGCAACTCTGCTCTCCAATTAACAATTCCAAGCCATTATCCATTACACCAACCACACAACCAAGTTTACATTATCGGATACTCCTAAGCAGTCACCTATCTAGGTGCTGACTAGGCTTAACATTGCTTAACTTTAGTGATCATACAGGAACTGATATTTCAATGTGATATGGCCTGAAGCCTTGATAGTATAGTGGAAATTGAAGTTTTTGTTATTTTAAACTTTACAAATGTCATAATCTTTCTGTGTAATTACAGTGTACTTAGGAAATATTAAAACTTCAATATTGCAGTCATTTTTATTAGTACTAGTAAATTAGTAACAAATATTGTATACTAGTTTCTAATTTTCTTTTCAAAGTGTAGTACACAGATTTTGATTTTTCTAATTATCCTGTACAATTAAAGTAAAACAGAGAATCAGCAGAAATTATAATTATCAATTGGATGTAACATTAAAAGTTATATTGAAAATGTTTACACCAGTTTTAATGATCAGGATATAAAAATTTACAAAAACTCATCCCATCATAATTTTGGTCTGTCAGAGATATTTTAGGCATTACTTGAGACACATACATTGCTTGAAAACTAATAGGAAATTTATTTAATGTTTTTATCAATTTAACCTGGACATAAAACAATGACTAAAACCCAAAATATCTAATATTAAAGTTCACATAGCAACGAACTATACCGTTCAATCTTAAAATAAAAATATAAACAAAGGCAACTAAGAGTAAAAAGTGGCCATGAAATAAGTGATAAATATGAAGACAAAATATAAAGATTAGCATGAAGTGACCATATAAACAATTTTTTCCTCATATAAATTGTAGTTAAGAGGACCAAATTCAAACATCAATATATTATTGCTTTTTCTTGTTTTAAAAACAAGGAACTTAAAAAATGAATGCTTCACAAAATAATAATTTTACAGTACTTTTTTTGTTGGATGTCAGTCAAGAATATTAACATTTTCTTTAAAGAAAAAAAAAATGAGACTTTACCTATACATAATAGGCCAAATTTCAGACAAATGAATTCATACTTTTTTTATAGTGAGGCAAACTTTAAGTTCTTGGAATGTCATACAGAATCAATGCATTTTTAACATGATCTGTTGATTTTATAATTTTTTTTTCAATGATACCAAATCTCTTAATTAAACACACAACTGTTTTGGGTATAAAAATAAAAGATAAATATATAAAACTATGTTGAAATTTTTGAGATGTAGAATTATCATTGTTATAAACTTTTCTACTCAGACCAGTGTACTCGTCTTGGTTGCTATATTCTAACATTTCATTTGTTGTACTCTGTTATATTTGGTAGCTGTTTTGGAAATTTGAAGTGAACCCTTTATTCAATCCATGAGAGTAGACTGTTCACATTTCACTTTCCATGCTTAGAAAATATCTTGTATCACTTTATTCTCTCTAATCTAATTGCTCTTGTGTTGCTTGTTCATTCCTGTCATTGAACCAGAGTATAAGACATTTCTACACTACTCAACACAGGGATTGAATTTAACTGCCAGGATGTTTGGTTGAATAATATTGACAAGTTCTGTCTATCCAAATTTTTATTAACTTTTTCAAATTTCCAAATTAGTTGTTTTATGTAATCAGTAAATTTACCAAAGTTCATGTTCCATTTTATACCCCCCCCCAAGCCTATGTACTTTTGAATGATGCTACATTCATTTTTCAAGGATTGTGTTTTGTGTATGTTTATGTTACTGCTTTCAGTTAATTTGGTTAGTTATATAAACATATGCAAAACGCAATCCTTGAAAATGAATGTAGAAGCATTTAAAAGTACTCTGGGGGAATAAAATAAAACAAAAATAAATGTGAACTTTGGTAAATTTACTGATTACATAAAACGACTTTGGAAATTTGAAAAAAATGATAAAAATTGGCTGGACAGAAGTTGTCAATATTATTCAACTAAACATTTTTGAAAGAATTCTTGCTGCCAAAATCTCCAGATACAGACCATATAATTAGTTTACCCATACTGTCAAAAAAATGATATATAAATAATTTTGAAACAGTTATACGGTTGATTATATTTTCTGCATAAATAATGCAAGACTTTTATCCACTATAAACTTAACTCTATTGTTGAATGCAGAAAAAAAATTCTGAATTTGAAATCATTAAAAGTAACAATAGCCAAAAGAAAGCTAACACAAAACAGAAGAAATAAAAAAAAATGGAATAAAAAGCAACATGTCAGCAATACTTCCATAACACACTTGTAGAGACTCTTGTAGAGACAGACAATATAGCTTTTGCTTCTCTCGAGATCAATGCCAATGTGTTAACTGTTAGTGCTAAAAGAGTTTGTCAAACTTTAGATAAGAGCTCTCAGGTTGTTGCTTTAAATATCTCAAAGCTGTTTGATAGAGTTTGTAATGCTGGTCTTCTTCACAAGTTGAAGGGTTATGAGGTTTCTGGTTGAGTTTTTCAACATAAATTTAAGTGTTCCCAAGAGCTCTTCAAGCCTATTTTTGTTCCTTATTTTTAACAACAACCTTCTTGATGTCATCAGTTCTTGACTTAGTATCTGTGCTGATGACATAACTATGTACTAGTTAATTTTAATGCCTTCAAAACTAAACTGCTCTCTTTTAATTGTGTTAGAGAAGCATTTTTGTCTTCCATCAGAGGCTAATCTCCAGGAGAGTAACTAATTGCACCTTTTACTGTCTAACATTTTCAACTGATATGAATTGGAATGATTATATCAAATCAATTGCTAAGTCTGTTGCTAGGAAAGTTGGCTCACTATGTTGCACTAGACAATTTTCTTGCATCTTTATAAAGTCTACCATGCATATGAGCATTGAATATTGTTACTACATCTGATCTAGTGCTTCTGCTATCTATTTAGATGTTCTTGACAAAATCCAAAGAAGAATCTGCAATGTTATTGATCCTGACATGGCATCTCAGTTCCAGTCACTTTCCCACTACTGTAACATAGATTCCCTGTGCCTTTTCTATAAATATCTTAATGGCAATTGTTATGAGATTTTCTTTTTGGTATCTTGACTTCAAGAAAGTCAAAAATTTAAATACAACCTCAATAATCATTTTCTGTCTTTTTGAATCCTGTTCTTTTATTGTTCATTCCCCTCAACATTTTCTCAGTTTCTTTCATTCTCAGTAACCCGTTGCACCTTAGTGACTTTATTGCAATTGCTTGGGGTGAAATGATTAAAAAATGAAATTAAATTAAAAAAAAAAACAACCTCCTATTAACAATGGAATGTCTCATTACTGAGAAAGGAAAATTTGGTAAAATGATCAAAAAAATATATAAAATCACATTGTATTATATAATAATAGATTACACATAAAATTTTGCGAACAGTTATGTTTCATGATTCAAAATATTTACCATTGTTTTTACGATGGTAGTATGCCATGTGGGCTTGATTCTTCGTGGCATTGTTGTAAGGCATTCCCAGTTTTTATCAATGTAAGGAATGATATCCTGAAAATAACAAAAATATCAGAAAAAAAAAAAATATGCACAGCATAGAAATTGCATAACTTTATTTATTTTCTTAGTTAGCTAAAACAAGATGTGGGGAGGGGGGGCGTTAATAAGTGGGGAAGCAGAATTTTTATCAATATGTAATAAACAAGGATGTCTCAATAAGCTTCCCCAGAAAAAAACCAAAAAAAAAAAACCACTTATGTTGTACTAAACAAAAAAGACTACAAATCAAAACTTAGCCATCTTAAAAGACAAAAAAAAAAAAAAAAAAATTTTTTTTAAATATCTAGAAACCCTACTGATAAACTTGTGACCAAACTTGTCACTGTCAACAATGCAGAAATAGGATCCCTGAAACTTGAAAAGATCACTAGCAAATACAAACCAGGATATACCTGTGGAAAAAAACAAAAACCACAAGCCAGGAGCTCTACTAAAATGAATAATTTCATAAATTCCTACACATAAATATATCTCCAAAACAATCATCCAAGGATGATTTACAACAAAGTATAAAAAAAACAACTAAACATCAATAAAATGTTACCAAATTTAGACAAAAAGAATTTTTCACAATGGCCTATGAAAGCTAAAAAATACTCTATATAGAAATAGAGAAGAAATTTTAAAAAAAGAAAAAGATCATAAACAAAGGAAATAAATCTGTTAGTTTTTAATCAAATTTGTATAAATGAACACTTTCTTCCCAAATACACCCTATATTATATATATACACAAACACACACACACACACGTGCATGTGTGAGAAAATGAAACAAATAAATAATAATAATAAAAGAAATTCATTTTCCGATGATGCAAGTTAAATAGAAACTATAAATGGTTTTTGGTCACATGCATGATTTTATGACCCCACTTCCAGAAAGGACTGAATCTTTCTCTTTTCTGCTTTTCAATGACTTCATCCGGACACATTTTGGCAGCTATACTCATAAAGTGAATTGGCGGTTCCAACTCAGCGCAAAGCTGACTTCCTTTTAACCATTGTTATCCTAACTTCTGAACCAAAAAAGAAAAGGGATACCTACAAGAGACATTGAGAACTTTGTTTCACCACAGTTACCATGAAAAAGGAATAAAAGTCTATAGTAGAAACTCAAGTTTTGTATGCTTCTATCTTCTTTGTTTACATATTGAACATGCACCTTTACCTAAAATACACACATACAACATTACAACCTTTTTAACTTCCATATATGCACATCTACAATGTTATATTATGCAAGTCAATGTTTTCACAATAAAATTGGTATTAATTCACTATGAAATTTTCAGGATATACTTATATTTGCATGACCAATATATCGTGAGTTTTAGCCTACAACATCTACCATTATCAAAAATATTGTTTTGGACATGTTAAGTTTTATTATGCAACAAACTAAATGTAACAAATCTTTAGTTATAAAAAAAATTCAAAAATATAGACCAGAGAATTATGTATTTGGTTAAAAGAATATCTAAAAAATCTGAAGCAATTATTACCTTACACAGGCTCTTTGACCTCCTATAATCTTCACAAGTCTATTAAACTTTGATTATCTTTTCTATTGTTTCAACTTTAATGTTATTTGCAGCAGTTTTTATTGATTCCCAAAGATCCTCTTTGTTTTAATACTGTTTTCCATTCTCATATATATCTCTTTATGATTGGCCATAAGTTTTCTACTGGATTACTATCTGAAAAGAGATTAGGAGCCATTCCAATAATTTGGTTTTTGAAACCTTTTTCTGTCAAGGTGAGCACCAGTAACCTTTACAGAATGTAAAGGAGCATTGTCTTATATGAATATTCTCTTTTAGCATCTTACCTGTGACCTGTATCACTCAATACCAATTTTATTGTGAAAACATTGGCTTAATTGTTTATTGGTATCAAGAATACAGCTGACCTATCAGCATGGAAAATGAAATCATCAAAACACTTCCTCTGATCCTGTTACTATGCACATATTTTAAGATACTCTATGACAAAGTGGAAAAATTTCTTTGTGTGACACCACATTTTGCCCTTTACAACTAAAGTCATGTATACGTTCATATGGTTACACATGCACATGAAAGAGAGGGGACACTGAAATTTTTAATTTAATTTTTTTCTTTTTAATGTGTTTGGGTATATTGTTTAACCAATTTCATCTAGTTTCTTTTTCTTTGTTTTAATCATTTTTGTTAAATATCCCACTTTGTGATAATAGATCTTCCAAGACAGGTGAAATTTTGTAAGAACATGAACATCAATTTACTGTGGATGATCTAGTGATTAAAGCAATTTCTATGAATTTTTATCTTAGTAAATTGCTTTTGGTTTTAATTAAAGTATCATTTTTTTTAATCAAAATTATGGTCAAACACATTATAGTGATCAACTAATTCATTGAGAGTTTTGTTTTGTATCAAGTCTTTTATTGTTTTAGAAGTAGTTGTAATAAATTTTATGTTAAGCTTAGATAAATTCTTTTCAATTGTAATTAGGATAGAATTGGTAGGTAGAACAAAATATATTTTGATTTATTATGTTTGTCAGAATGGCACACTTCTTCTATTGTGAAATATTTAAGAAAACTTGTTCCATGTTGAATATGAAATAATTAGTGGAGGAGCTTAAAAGTATTTTCAATGTATTTCTCCTCTTCATATAAATATTGAGGGCTACAAATTCTGAGTGCGATTAAATAATTTCAAATTTTATTTTCTTATGGTGAGAATAGAAATTTATGAGATCATTTTAGTTGATTTATGATGGACATATGCACATATGCAAATCAATCTGTAACTTGATGCCTGTAAGAAACATGTTCTCCATAAATACAGGAACCTACCATTAAAATGAGGCAGTTATTAAGAGGGACACAAGCAGACAAATCATGGCAGTTGTGTGCAGCAGAGTAGTGATATTATCACCTGTCTTTGCCTCCTAGTCCACCACTTCTTGCAAGATAGTGCTGAAAAGAATCTGGTCAAGTGAAGAAATTTTCCTTAGTCTAAGAAGTTTGTTTGTAGACTGATGATCAAGAAAAATGGGGAATGACTGTCTGCAGGTCCAAGAACAAAGTTCCCTGATTGAATTGTTGAACTATCAGTCACTAGTCCAGGGATGACACTTAACTCAAACTGATCATAGTTAGACCACCGCACTGCTGAATTGAAAAGGATTATACTGATAATTGTAATCTTCAGCAAATTAACTCTCTGCTATTGTTCTCACAAACAAGAGTTAGTTGTCTGTGCTAAAAGTCACTTCCTTCTTTAACTTTCTTGTAACTCATACCAGACTAGCCTAAAACTTCCTCAAACTTAAAACTTCCAAAACTTAAACACAAGTGGGGAAGTTTGACTTGACTAGTAGTGGAAGCTGCTCAGACAGTAGTCCAAAGACAAGGTGAGCAGAAAGAGAGTTAGGTTATATATCTCACATGGCACACAACAAAATTTGTAACCACAACAAAACTCATATGTGTGTGTGATAGAAATTATTAGGGGGATTTGAATAATCATAAGTAATTCATAGGGTCTACAAAAATTCCTCAACAGAATGTAGAAAACACTGGACAGCCATTTCATCCTATTTTTGGACTCATCCATTACCGAGAATTGAACCCAGACTATGACGATATGACACAAGAGTCATACCCACCGGACCAATGGGTTTCGGTGATGAACAGGTAACAAATTAGACTCAATATAGTACTGCTCTTCCTAAATAATATATTATTACTTAAATGTTATTTTTAATGGATACTCATATTTAAGTAGATGCTCTGTTCATTTATTAAACAATATATTTATTTATTTTTATCTACCAGCCTGAATATTTGAGAAATCTCATTACAAAAATATGCACTCTCCTGCATGATTCAAGCATTCCCCTATGGGAAACCATCATTAGATCTGACGTGCTTTGACCTCTCAATTACAGAGAACCTGATGGCCAAGCAAAGATATGAAACTGAAAGTAGAGGTGTATATTTGGCGAATCAGGAAAAATCTGTGTTTAAAAGCACTATTTGGGCTTTGCTTGGCTGAGAGGACAATGTATTAGGGGAACATAGGTTCAATCCCTGCTGGAGAGCACATATTTTTCTAAGAATTTCTCAAATATTCAGGCCAGTAGATGAAAATAAATAAATATACTGTTTAATAAATAAACAGAGTCTATTCAAATAAGGGTATCCACTAAAAATAACGTTTAAGTAATAAATTATGTGGATTAATAAATAAAAAATCTATTTCCAGTACATCAACAACAACATTCATTCTCATTAAAGACCTTGATCACATTAAAAAAAAAAACAAAAAAACAACAACATTAAAGCATACTTATATTTACAGACAAACTGTATCAATAATAGTGGGGGAGAATAAACAGTAGTAATTTCTATCTACTTAACAATCAAAACAAATGCCAATAGTCACAACAAAATAAAATAAAAACAACAACAAAAACAAAATAAAGCACCTTAACAATTATTTTAAATGTTGGTTCAATTCTTTGGGGAAAATTTTAAAAATCTTCCCTCTCCAAATTCATAGACAAATCCTACAGATGCATGCAGGGATTTCTTCTTAGACAATATAAATGGACAATTCTTGGTCTTATCCATACATGTTGCCTTGAAGTCAGAAGGTTATAAACATTTGACTGTATCCTGTTTGTGCATGAACAGTTTATTTTTTACTCTCTTATAATTTGTTATATTCCGTGCTAATAGGAATATATACTTGACATACACAGTGGATAAATAAGTAAAGGTTTATTGTAAAAACCAATACAATAAGAAATAAGGTACAGTTATGTGCGCAGTCATCGCAAGTCAATCCAGTAGTGAGTGCTGCTATTGAAAGGTTGGTAGTTCTCATGTAAGTCTGGGTCATACTCAACAGATCCCAGCAAGTCTCCCATAGTCCGTTGCCTTACGGATACTTACAGGTAGTTACTACCTATAGTGTAGTTACTCATGGGGGTAACAGGTTATTCCATTACATCATAATTGCAATTATCTTATAGATGCCTTGCATTCATTGTTCATCTCTTATAATTGCAATTATTTTATAGATGCCTTGCCTTGTATAACATTGTTCATTTCTTTTATTATTTTGCTGTTATTTTTATTATTTTTATTATTGGGAATTGTCAATTATACTTAAAAATACTTGTTTATACAACACTAAATTACACTGTTCTTCTACAACAATAATCTATAAAGAATTATTGTGCAAATAAAAATTATTTTTAGAGAGAGATAATTAGAGTGACATACATATAAAACCCACTTTAAACCACAACAAAAATGCCATTATGTTACTGTAACCAAATACACCCCAATTACAGAAAAGACAAAAAAGAAATAAATATGTAATTTATGCACATCTGTAGTAAAAATTGTATAAGATTCATCATATACAACAAAAAATTTAAAACTATCAACCTCAGTTATTAACAACACTTTTCCAAAAAAAACAAAAAACTACTTTGTAAAAGTTCATTGTTCTCTATCATTTTATTTGTCCCTTAGGGAATTATCTGAAAATAAAAAAAAAACTTCAACATATATTGGTCATAACACAACATTTCTCAAGACAAACTGCCATATGTAAACATATAAAACAAATTCATGTCACCCCTTCTAACTAGCATCAAATTTTGGTCAACAATATAACAGTGCTATGCCAATCCATCTGCAAAAAGTGATTTAAAATTTTGGAGGCACTTCAAATCAAATGATGGCAACCTACCATCAATAAAACCATAAGGTTATTTTTAAATAATCTCTTCTGCCACCATATTCATTTCAAATCCAATAGCAAAAATGATTCACCTTTCCTTTACAGACTTCCACCAAACATGAAACTGATTTATTTAACACCAAGAGAAACTGAAAATCTGAACAGACATTCCTTGTTTTTTTTTCTATTTAATAAAACATGTTTAAAAGAAGGATTGCTGCATAAATATTATATATATGAGGTATGGGTAAGATTAAAAAAATATACTTATATGCACATATACTTGCACGTATGTATAAATATATTTCTTCCTCGGGTGTTATAAATACAGTGCTCAATGTTATGTAACAGAGCTATAAGTATATATTAGTGAATATACATAATAATTAACATCAATAGCATGACCTGGTGTTTCATGCAGTCTTGTAATCTTCAGGCGCTGAGTATATTCTGACCATTATAGAGTTCACATTCTCATGGTGTTGACCATGCATGAAACTCTGAGTCATTCTACTAACATTGGATATAATGTATGTTCACTAATATATATATATATATATATATATATATGTGAAAAGTGTATATAAATATAAATAAATATAAGTATGTATAATTATTTATATATTATATGCGTGGTACTTATTAGAAAGCGCTCAATCAGTTTGTCTGACGATCGCTAAAGCGTGAAAAGGGTCGTGAATCTATCCCATATATATATATATATATATATATTATAATTAATTGATTTAAAATATATTTTGATTTTCGCTAAACAACCATATTTTAAACAATTAATTTACATCTATCCAACATTGAGCACTATTTTATATATCTATATATTTTTTATATATATATATATATATATATATATAAAAAGAAAAAGAAGAAACTTCAAAAATATAACATGCCTATATGCAATGAATATTTTAGTGATAAAAAATATGGTTCATTTTGTTAATATTTTAAAGTTTCTTACCATCATCCACAGGAGATTATCATTAACAATAAAAAAAAAAAAAAAAAAATAATGGTAAGAAAATATAATTACACTCTTTCTTCAATGTTCTTACCTTTTTGGAAAACATGAATTTCATATCAGGGTCAGATTTATTTTGGAAAGTCAAGTTTGCAACAGCAGTGTAACACATCTGACTAAAATCTAAAATAAACAACCAAAATTGTCAGCAAACTAAAGGATTCAAACATTGTCAATTAAAACAACTGAAGAATACATGGGCAAACAATAGTGGACATTTCTATTTAAGACAACTAAAAATTTTACAAGTTTACAGTAGTATAAAATATGAAATGCAGTTATTTAAACAATGGTTATAGGCAAGTTTACAGATTTTCCATTTCTAAAGTGACAATAGTGGCATAAAACCACCAAGATTGAACTTTAGTCCCATTTGCTGTACTGTCCTATGTTATACCACTGAGCCATACTGAACAAAAATATCAAGAACTCAGTACAGTTTTTGAAGATCATTTGAGACAATGGCCTCATTACAGATGTCATGAGAATGGCATATTACTACAAATTCACCTTGATAAAATAAAGTAATAATTATAGTAATAATTTCTTGTAATATAACAGAATGGTCAAGTAAATGCTCTAAAATTCTATCTTAGTTATTCTGTACTTGCTATAGTGAAAGAAAATCTGACACTTTCCCCAAATAACTTTTCACAATTAATGATATTAAACAGTTTTATTAAAAAACAAAAAACAAAAAAAAAACTGACTTTTACACAGGTCAATCAGTACTTTAAAAGTATAATACCATTCAATATAATGCTTACAATGTTACTAGACACTAAGTGAGAGTCAACAACTTCATTAAAAAAGCAAAAACAAATATTACTTTCACTATCCACTCTAAACTGAATCCTCACAAAGCATGTGGACTAATTTCTAAAATAGTCCTTCAAAAATGTGCTCCTGAACTAGCTCCTGTCCTCTCTAAACTCTACAATAAATGCTTTGCTCTTTATTTGTTGGAAATTCTCTTCTGTAGTCTTTAAGAACTCAGGCGAACCATCTAATCCTTCCAACCATCAGCCTATTAACCTTCTACCTCTTTTTAGCAAAGTAGTAGAGGCTCTAATCAGCTCCAAATTGGTTAAATATCTTGCTTCATAGGGTCTTCTTTCAGACAAGCAACATGGCTTTCACTTCTCTAGATCAGCTGCTGGTATGTTAACAGTTATTGCTGAAATAGACTGTCAAACTTTAGATAAAAATGGTGAAGCTTGGTTTGTAACTTTCAATATCTTGAGGATTTTTCAATATCTTCAGGATTTTGCATGCTGATCTTCTTCACAAGTTGAAAGGCAATGGTATTTCTGGATGAATTGTTGCTCTGATTCAATCTTTCTTATTCAATCATAAAATGAAAGTTGTCTTGAATGGCCACTCTTCTAGAACTTTTTGCATTACTACAGATCTCCCCCAGAATCTACATTCTTCCTGATGTCATCAGTTTTCAATTTGGTATCTATGCTGATGACACAACTATTTACTCCCGTCTTAATGGTAAATCTGATCAGTTCAATAAGTTCAAATTGGCAACTGATCTAAAAAATAACCTACAATTTGTTGTTAATCGAAGCAAGAAATGGTTTGTTAACTTTAACACTTCTAAAATGAAACTGATTTCTTTTAATCGTCTTAGAGAACCCTTTTTGCCTTCCATCAGCATGGCTGATGTTAACTTCCAAGAGTGTAACTCATTACTAAAATTCTGGCTAACATTTTCTGCTGACACAAAGTAGACAGATTATACTGAATTAAATGCTAAGTCTGCTGCTAGAAAAGTTGGTTAATTATGTTGTGCCAGACAATTTTTCTCACCAGAATCAATCTTTATAAATCTACCATTTGTCCCTTCATTGAATATTGCTGTTACATTTGGTCTGATACTTCTATGTACCTAGAGACTCTTGACAAAATCCAAAGAAGAATCTGCAATCTTATTAGTCCTGACATCTTGGCTTCAATTACTTTCCTGTCATCCTAACATAGCTTTCCAGTGCTCTTTCTAGAAATATTTTCATGGTAATTGTTCTGATGAGATTTCCTCTTTGGGACCCTTTATAAATTTAAGCATAATTCTAGATTGGCAGTTATATCTCATCATTTTATAGTTGAAATTGTTAGATGTAACCATAAGTTCTATGCTAACAGTTAATTCTCTTGCACTTCTCGATTATGGAACTTTCTTCTGGTACCTTGCTTTCCAGTATACTTGATCTTCAAAAATTTAAATACAATGTCAATATTTATTTTCAGTTCTTTTATTGTTCTCACTCCTTAATAATATTTTTTTTTCTCATAGTCTTTCACACTCAGTTATCTCTCATGTCTTAGTGGCTTTATTGCCTTGCTTGGAGTGAAATGATTAAAAAACAAAAAATATTAGCAAAACATTTCCTCACAAAAAGCCATGCACATTAATTTTATAATTAGTAGACAGTCAATACAAAATATAAAAGTGTAGGGCATGACTGAAAATGTACTACAGAATTAACCTCACTGGATAATCTTTGCAGAACAATGATATGAAAGAATATTTTCAAAGTTGACAAGATACTGATTCAATACAATTCATGTAACAAATGATAGCCATAAAAATGCTGGGAGTAGAAAAAGGATTAGACAAATTTACAAAGCACATGAAATATGAGGCACTTAATATCGACAGTTATTTAATATCTTATTTATTAGCAGGGATTTCATGGAAAATACATGAATTTAATGCATGTTATTAAAGAAGATGGTCATCTTTAACTAATCCAGTGAATTTACAGATGAAAAGGTTTTAACATGACTCACTTCCCAAACTTTGATAAAAAATCAGATTTATTTTAAGGGCTTCTTAGTTAGGCTGAGACCTTTTTAGCATTTCTTCATAACAATTGTTAGTTTCATGAATTTTTGATAAACTTGGCTCACCACAAAGCAGTGTTTTAAGTTCAATGACTTAAAAGTGGTTTTAGCAGTACCAGTCTAAGGAGCTGAGAAACCCTTTTTTCTGGGGTTCCAGACTAACAGACAAGGTCTTAGTAGAAAATATATTTGCTTTTTTAACTTCTTCAAAGAAATGAATGATTATACAGTTATATAATTAACAAACATAGCATTCAATTCAAGTACAAAAAAAATATATATATATATATATATATATATATATATATATATATATATAGGAACAGTATAAGATGAGTATCCTTTATCCGAAACCTGAAAATTTTTCAGGTACTGATATGACTTGCCACAAATGGAAAATTTCAGAATTTCCGTAGAATGATTATTGTGTTACAGCATTAAAAATAAAATGCTGTCTCTTTTTTCAGTTTTCATTACATTTAACTAATCAGAATCTATGTTTAGTTTTTATACAGATACTGTACCTGTATTCATTGTAACATTTTAATCAAAACACGATATTGTTGATAGAGACTGAAAGAGCTTACCAAATTTTCCTTCTTACACTCACAGTAATGTTATGAATGATGTACCCTCTCCCTCCAGTTTCTCACACCTGATGTAGAACTAGTGTTTGGTATTGCATTTATATATTTTTGTAAGTAGTGATCATGTTTTTTGTACACATACAGAAAATGCAAAACATTATTTTTATGTGAAATTTTAATTTCACTACTGAAAAATCCGTGTAAGCATTATATGACTAACATCATTACCTGTATCTGTATGTATACAAAATTTATTAAATTTTATATAAAACTACCTTTAGGGTATATGTATAAGCTGTGCTATGAAATGTAAAGAGATATCGTGTTTATCCTTGGGTTCCATTCCAAAGCTTCCCAATTTACAGATGCTATACACAAATCAAATAGCCTGTATTCTAAAATAATAAAAAAATTCAAAAACCAAAGCACTTCTAGTCCCAAGAATTCCGAATAAAGGATTCTCAACCTGTATAAAATATCAAGATGTTAAAATCATAGCTGTTCTCTATAAAAGCATGCAATGTAATGTTGCAGTGTGTGCTAAATATATTTGACAAGCCTAGAGTAAATGATCCTAGTGTTGGGCTCAACTGGGAGTAAATAGTTTAATTGATTTAAAACTGGTCCTGAGTTTTACTGATTTTTTTTTTAAATATCAAGTCAAAACTGAAATTTTTACTGTATGAGAAAAATCATTCAACCATATTTATCAAACACTGATGAGCTTTGTGTTCCTGTGAGTTGGTTGATTCTATGGACACTTCAAAATGAGTTTGCCATTCAATTTGAAGAAAGAAAAGTAGAGTCACTCCAACACTGTAAATTGTGGAACACACAGTCTACCATAGATCATAGCAACTTGCAATCTTCTCTTAATGGCTGCTTTCATCTTCAAGTGAATCCTTAAATACATGTTGAACTCACAAATATTCATCATGGTATTATAAAAATTGCACTTGTGCAAGCACACTTTCATCATTGCAAATGTCTGTCTGCACACAACACATCATGCTTGTTTAGCTTCAAATAATTCAGCACAAGAAATTAACTCTTGCTGCAGACTTGATGAATGTTAAATGAAATTAAACTAAACTTACAAGTCAAACCAAAGCATTTATGTAAAACTTATTTGACTGTGCTATTGAGAAACTTCCACTAACAATTCAATTGAAAGTTATTAATTTGCTACATTACACTACCTGCACATCTTGCATTAAATCAAATGCTCAATTGAAGTAAGTATGAAAAGACACCACTTGTTATCAATTAGATAGCAAAGTAGACTGGACTCATAAGCCAAGAGCAGCAGCAAAATAGGACAGGGACAACTCTAAATTAACAAGCATGGAGGTGGTAATGGAAACCACTCCATTATCTTTCCCAATAAGTCATGGCAATTCAGAAATAAAGGAATTGTTAGAGAGTCACAATAACCTACATTCTGAAGAGACATGTAATAAAAAAATAAATAAAACATCTTAAAAGATGAAATACATTAAACCTCTTTACAGATTACTCAACAACCCCTTTCCCCCACAGACAAAATGTCTCTTACAACTCTATTGCTATTTCCATGGTAAATGATCTAATCAGCTACAGCCTTTAGTTTCACTAGTTCTAACCTTTACAGCTAAGACCTACCATACCACATACACTGATACAAACTATCCCCATTAACTTTGTATTCCATTAGTAAGAAGAAAGTTCCACTCAGACAGCTTCTTCCCAAGGACTGCTACTTTGTGGAACAGACTCTTGAGAGGATGTTCTCCTAATCACTACAAACTTAACCTCAAGTCTAAGGTTAACTTATTTTTCCTGTGTATCCTCATAAACTGCACTTTGTACTTCCTTTACTTACCACTCATAAAACAACATCATTCAATAATCCTCTATCTTGAGTGGCTCTTGGACTTTGTATTGTGAAAATTCGTAAAAAAAAAAAAAAAAAAAAAATCTTGATAGAAGAGTTCAAATTTTAATATTTCACACTGATAAATTTTAAGTGAAAATAAAAACACCTGGTGAAAAGTTTCATTTAACTAAGAGAGAAAGATACAAACATCTCTCATATTTAATATACATGTTAAAAAATTCAAAGTTAAGTGAAATTCTAAGGAAGGATAAAATTTAGCATAAAAATGGAAACTAAATATTCAATAACAGTAATTATGAGTATTGACATAAAAATAGACAATATAAACCTGAAATAAGACAGAATTAGGAAAATACACAAATTATAGTATCTTTCCCACAATAGATTATTACAAAATGTATTAATTTACAGGTGCTTTGATAATTTCAATTGATACACACACACACATATCTATATATATATATATATATATATATATATATATATATATAAGCTTAATATTGAAAGGATGAAGAAAAAATCTGTGATATATTCTTTTAAACCTGAAATAGAAGTAAATGAAACAAGAAATGACCTCCCCACAACACAAAAAGTAAAAAGAAAGCAATACATACTGGCTTGCTTTTTTGTGAAACTCTCTCCACCTGAACTGCATTTTTTTGATTTACAATAGAACAAGTAGTTTGTCATGAAGGGGACAGACTTTCTGGAAGACAAAATCATTTATATTTCAAACATGTTGGTCTGGTATAAACATTCTCATCACAAAAATGTGGGTGATAATATCAGTTGTTAATGTGGTTATATGTTGTGTTTGGCTATATTATGGTTATTTGATGATTAATCAACCATGACTGATTATAAAGACTCCATTATTCAAACTGAATACACATGGTCAACGAGACATTAACTTAAAGAACTGAACTGGTATGTTTGCATAACAATAAATGCTAGATATACGGTGAAGTTAGCAGATTGAAGAGGGCAGCTTGTAATCTGCTGCTAAATAGTACAGTTTCATCCAAGCTTGAAGAAAAGTCACTTTGAAGGTCAATGACAGCAAGCATCACATTAATAAATAAGCAACTGGATTCAGAAACAAAGGATTCATAGAACAAACAGCTGGCTGCTAGATAGAAACTAATACAAAGTGTATAAATTATCTCTTGTGTACTTCATTTTTCAGAAGTTAATAATTTCCATTTGTAAGCAATTTCATTGCAGATCTCAGTTAAGAAAAATACATCTTTAGAAAAGCTGATACAGAACAGATTAATTCAATGTTTCTGAAAATTACACAATATTAAAATAAATGAGTTGTGTGTGTTATCAGGATTTATCTGAAATCAGCTATCAGATAAGGTCCAAGAAAGATAAGTTTAGGGGATCAATTAAACTAATTACTGAATTTATGAAAGTGCTCTTTAAATACAGCAGAGTAAATGAGCTAATGTTGAACAAGAAAAAAAAAATTCTAATGCATAATTATGCCAATGTTGGGAAACAAAAACACACACATTTTTATGATGCTGATAGGTTTTTCAATGTTATAGATTAAAAAATAATTATCCCTTCATTTTTTTCCCAATTTCATCTATAAATTGGATTTCTTTGATAAAACAGGTTAACCTGGCAGTCTTTAAGTCAGTTAATCAGACACCAAGGTTAACTAAATGAAAATCAATAACAAATTTTAATTATTCATTTGATTAGATTTTTTTTAAAGAAAAAATATTAAGTAAAGGATTGCTTAATAATTTTTTTTCTTTGTAATAAAATAATTGAAATTTATTATTGATTTTCATTGGTTTACCTTGGTGCCTGATTAAATAAAACATGCAAGATTACAAAAGTAGTCCCCCCGCCTAAAAAAAATCCCAAATTACTGCAACATTAAGAGTTTCAATACCAGACAAGATTCAATTTAATCAATAAACCAGCAATGCCCAATATCAGAAGATAACTACTCCTATTATGGAGACAAAATTATATATACACATTTTTGCTGTCTACAGACTTTTAAAGCTAAGAAACACTAAATAACAAATTCAGCCTAGGAATATTTAACCATATTCAGCTATATCTCTGACAAAAGACAAAATAGGTTAAAAATTATAACAGGAACAGTTATAGTCTTCTTTACTAATAACTTACCCAATAAGAGACTTAATACATTCTGCATGAAACCATTTCAGGCAACCACTACATTGCAATTCTATTGTTCCAAGTTTGCGGCCACGTTTGCTGTGATGGATTGAAAATAATGGGAATTATGATAAAAAATATGCAAATTTTAAAAAAAAAAATTTTTTCTTCATTTTTTTTAATTTTTATGCAAAATGACATAAGCAATATAGCAATTTTTTTTAGCTGGAATAAATTGAATATTTAATCTCATAACAAAATGAAACACTTCATTCAGAAATGTTACAATATTGTTTTAGATATCAATCAATGAAATGAGAAATCCTTTGCTCTTAATTCTATCTTCCTATCACCTAGTCCACACATCTTCTGGAGTAAAGGTTTATTCCATTTTCCTGTTTAGGTATGGGTTTACTGTTCCTTCTCCGAAAATCTTATTTTCAATCACTCCCAGTAACCCCTTGCATCTTAGTGGCATTATTGCCTTACTTGGGGTGAAATGATTGAAAAAACATAAAATAAAACATGTTTATAAATAACAATGATTCACTCATTTACATTTGAACTAATGTCCTCATCTTTGTTGTTGTTATCATGTTTCAGCTGTTGTACTTTCTGGACTTCTTCAGATGTCTATTGATCTGGGTAACCTTCAGAAAATTTCAAACTGAACCCTTTGAGTCTTACATGGCTCAGGGATTGAACTGGCAATCACTAAATCACCAAATTTATGAATCAATGCCTTAATGCACATGGTTATTGTCCCACTCAGTGGAAATAAGGCAAGCAATAAGTGAGCAGTACTAAATAAAAACAAGACAAACATGGACATTCATTGATTTTCTTATTTAAATAATTCTTCTTCAGGGCAGTTCTGCTTGAATCCCAATACCTTGAGACCAGTAAAGAAGTGGAGTTTATCCACACCAGCTGACAGTGCGTTTTGGCGACAATTTTTTTTATTGCTGGCTGTCTGGCTTTGTGTCAGCCGTATCAAAGATAAATTGGCTTCATTTGAACTCTATCTTCTTCCTTTCTTTCAAAAATTATTGAAATTATGCTATTGTTTTTTTTTTAAACTCACTGTGGACCAAAAGTGCTGCCCAGGGTGGACCGCCCTCTCTGTCCCTACCTAGCTACACCACTGTGTCAAGCCCATAAGCATAGTGAGAACGCAAGGTGGAGTACAGATGGCCTGAATCTCCAAATATTACTCAGTTTTAATGAGCTTTCCTTGAGTTGAAATCCAATATTTTCCAAATATATTCATCATTTAATGAATACCATATATATTCAAGTATAGTGTGAGTTTTTGTGATCAGCTTTTTACACAAAAAAAAAAAAAAAAAAAAAAAAAAAATAGGGGTTGCACTATACAGATAAATTTTTTCTGGAAAGGTTAAAATACATGTAAAAGAAAAAAATCAGTGGGTTGCAGTATGCATAAAGTCAACTTATACATAAGTATATTTCTAAGAATAGTGTGTCATGGGTTGAGAAATGAGCATCTCTTTGATTATACCAGCAAAGAACAAAAACAATAAACATTATAATAATTTTTTTTCCAAAGTCCCAAAATACAAAAACCTGAAAATGATCAACCCAAGATGATATGAATGAAATATTTGTATTTGTTAGTGAATGGTCAACTACAACAATTAGTAAATTACCAACCTCCATATTAAAACTAGGAGGTGAGAAAGAAAGAAACCATTTTGTTAGAAAGAAAGGAGCATAGTGCAATCACAAAAGGTGACATATACAACATTGGACTAATAGTGAAACAAGTAATTGGGCTAATTCAAGTTGACAGCCGTAGTAACCTCCGAATTGCCAACATAAAAGTAATCAGCTCAAAATGACTTGTATTTATCTACTTCCTTGTTGAAATTGGCTTGTAACTAAGAGCAGCCAATTAAAATATATTGGATGAGCATCCAAGTCAAGTCAAGGTACAACTTAGAGTGTAGGTGGGGCCATATTTTAGGTAATGCAATTAAATCAGGCTTGTTTATTTCTTGAAAAGAACAATTTACCCAGTGGTCAGCCACCACAATTCTTGTAATTTCCATTCCGAGTGAGACCTGGGAGGAATTTTGAACAGTTCATGTGATGTCACTCAGATCAGACATTTCGAAAGATGTTCCAAAGAAAAATGGAGAACATTCTTCAGAGCTTTAAACACAAAGCAGATGAAGGAGAGTCTTTGGCTCTTTTGTCAAACTATAATTGGATATTGGACACTGCTCTGATTTAACAATTCCAACTTCTTTCCAAGGGGAAGAGTCATCATAAACTTCTTACTACAGATTGACAATCTAGGAGTTGCAATAAAAAGCAGCAGAAATAGGATGAGAGAAGTACTAATGAAAAATCAATAACAGTAGTTGTTTTAGAATTCAGCTAAGAATTAGTGTCTTGAAAATCAGACACAATTTACTGTTAAGTACTGACTATGAATAGATCTGTTTCATCCTTCTTTACTTACTGTTGACTATGCAAGTTTGTCAAGACATGGCTTCCCACTTAAGCAGGAGGTAAAATCAATAAATAAATGAATGTTTTAATCTGAAACTTAACCACTTGGAACTGGGATATTTTTTTACTCTTTGTACAGGACAAGGAAATGTCCCATGAGATCGCAAGAAGGAAAATCCCAAACAGCTTAGAGTTATTTGTCTTTTCAATCTCTTAAGGCAGCAATACCAGTCTATAGAAAAAGCATCAAGATTACAAACAAACACATAAAGCAATCAATTCCACTATTCAGTATGCAAGTGACAATTGCAAAGAGAAAAAAAAATGTTCAGATTAAATATGAAACTGGAAAGAGGATCTCCAAAGTATCTTTCTACTTACCAGTAACATTGAGGATCTGTGACAATTTCCATGTCTTCTTCTTTGGGACTTTTCTCTCTCTTGCTTTTCAGCATCTTTGTCTCCATCTCATTTTCCTTGTTTGAGCTTTTCTCACTCTCCTGCATATCTATAGGTGGTGTGTCAGCACCTCCAGCTGTATTGTCCTCTATGGTGCTAGCAGCAGATGTATCTGTAGGGGTGCCTGCTGCAGACACATCGGTAGCAGTGTCTGCAGCAGAAGCTTCAGGAGTGTTGGCAGCAGTGTTCACATCATCACACACCTGCATTGGTTCCTCCCTGTCTTCGGCAGAGGCAGATATTGCTTCAGAGCTACCCTTGTTAGTACTAACTGAGGACTGTGGTGAAGTATAAGATGTAGAAGGAGGACTCGAAGTAGCAGTAGCTATTGGTTGGGGAGTACCAGCAACTTCTGTCAAACCAGAAACTTTGTCTTCAGCACCTATTTTGATTTTCAGATAAGATCAAATTTTCAGAATTGGTCACAATGTAAAATACAATAGACACTTTTGAAGCATTAAAATGGATTGCAGGAGGTCAGAGCTTTTTTTTTATTATAGTTTTAGAGTTATGTGGAATGACACCTTTGACCTCTTAATCATCAGTTGTGCTCTTTTAAAGTATTTACTTGAACATCTACAAGACACAGAATCTGAACTGAGCATTCACAAATATGCACCAATGAAAATCAGTCATGAAAGAATACCAATAGTTAGTTAACAAGAATGACAAGTAACAGAAGAATGTTTTTTTTCTATAAGCCATAGATGTGAAGACCAATATTTGCCTAAGATAAAGAAAGGCACAATTATAAAAGATCTTTTCATATCTTTGGATTCATAATGAACAATATTAAGACCCTAATTAATTTTTTTTATATAATTTATTGTCTTACTGAGCATTTTCTTCTGATTTAATATTCAAGAGTTGGTTCTAGCTGCATGTTTAAAGTCAAATTACAAATATAATCAGAGTTGAACATTTATATTGAAATGAATAATTATTTCTAGATATTTTAAGCTGTTTTGCCTGATTCTGAATATAACATTCAAGATGACAAGGGAGAATTTTTACTCATTGGTAGAACAAGGGTTACTTATATCAGCATTTTCAAAAAAGAAAAAAAATCAGTTCTCTAAATTCTGAACAGGATGAAACATTAAGTTTTAATACATTTTTATTTGAACTGAAAAGGACACTGAAGATAATCTTCAATTTGGATGTCAAGTCACATCCAATCTCTAAATCTATATAATAATGAATTGGAAATTAATAAGGGAACAACTTTGTAATTAGACAAACGGCAATTAAAAGTTATTATTTTATTTTTAATCTCTACTAAGCAAAGTATTAAATAATTTTGGAACACACATGCTTAAAATTTAGGAAGAATGCTTTATGTAATAAAATATGTAAATTTTCAAAACTGAAGAGAAAAAGAAATGGAAAATTAATCATTTTTCTATAAAATAAAAATACATACAAAAAAGATATTTTATTTTGTAAACAAATATTTCTATGTAAAAATAATCAATAACATTACTTTCCTTTTTTTCACAAAATATAGGTATCATTTTATGTAACAATTAGCAATCACTTCATTTTTTTCCTTTCAGTTTCTATAACAAACACAAAACAGTGAATCATTATCAAGGTGAGCAGGAATGCAATCCTCACACTATTGAACTGGAAATTACTTTATTCTTTAAGTTAGAACCTTTTAACAATACTACCCTTACAAAAATCTCTACAATGGGCAGATGTTTGTTGTATTACAATAACAAACACATACACACACCAACAGAAATCATATGATTATAATATAGATCAAATTTCATTGAAGAATCATTCCAGATATGCTTTAACCAAAGATACAAACACACAGAAATATTATATAAAGATGATTGCAAATCAATTATTCAATCAGTATTGTCTGTAGAAATTTCCACCACACAAGAACTATCAATAGCAGGAATTTATTTGTATTAGATGAATTATATGTCTAAGAATGGTTCAAGATTGCATCAAAGAGATATTAATCCAAATAACACATGACACTAATTAAAAAGGGGGAAAAAACCTAGGAATTTATTAAAGGCAATTGCTAATGACGAAGTAATCCAAGATAAAAAAAAAAAATAAAATAAAAATGTCCAAATGGATAAATCAGTACATTTATGTCATACCTGCATCTGGGGTGCCGTCTGCTGCTTCAGCATCATCATTCTCCAGATCTGCCATTACATCAGCACCAACTGGAGTGGCAGGAATTGTTGCTGGAGTGTCAGGGGCAGTATCTACTTCTGTTTCTGCCTCCATTGAGGGTGTGTCTTCGTCTGGTGGTGGTGGAGGTGTCTCTGATGGAGGAGGAAGTGGAGGAACAGGTGGCTCTTCTGCAGCGCTGATTTCCTTAGGATGATCGGTAGTTTCAGATTCAGTCGGGACTTCTGGCTCTTCAGCTGGAGGAGTTGGTGGGGGAACTTCTGGGGGTGGGGTTGATTCTTCTTCACCCTTTTTTGCCTCCTCTTCCACTGGAATTTTTGATTCTTGGGGTGTTGGTGTCAGTGGTTCTGGTGTTGGAGGCTGTTCTGGAGTCTTTTCTGCTTTTTCTACCGCTTCTTCATTTTTTGTTTCTTCTTCTGGTAGCTTCTCTTCAGCAGCATCGGCAGTAGTAGCACTGTGAAATAGGATTTAATCATTCAATAAGCTTTCATAGTTGACAAAGTCGCATATTAAATGTTATGTATTAATCAGGTATAAAGAAATAAAGCAAATCAATATTAGTCTGGTTTATAAACCTTTCTGCCCCATAAACCATACAATGAAAGTTCTTTAAAAAGCAATCCCAAGTCTAGACATTTAAATAAACTCAGTTTTATAAACACAAGACAACATTGATCTGGCTTGTAGATAACAGGTTTATTACTTCTGTGTTATTAATACACCTTTAAAAAAAAACTTTCCAAGCATCAAACTCCTTGAAATAAAAATTCAAAGACTAAAGATCAATACTGATCCTTACACTGCAGATAATAAATTATTCAACTAAACTAACTTCAATATCAACCATCTGATGAACATTAAAAAAAAAAAAAATATCCAGAAATTAATAGCAACCTTAATAAATTTTTACAAACTACCAAATTTTATATATTTAAATTGCACTAACACACAACATTCAAATACTTAATTTTGCATTGCTGACCTTCCTTCAAAATGAAATTCATGCTTAACAGCTATTGATGTAAGATTATCTACAACTTAACACTGAGCTTTGTTTTATTGATCCATGTTCAGTTAAAGCATGAATTTTCTGATAAAAGCCAAAAAATAATTATAGTTCAACTTTTATATTGCTGAGCCACAACAGAAAAACTAAGTTCAAACATGCAAATACCATTCACCTGCTGGTGAGCATGTGAAAATGCATTAACAAGTGCCTAAGAAAAAGTATCTTACCTTGGAGACTCAGATGTAAAACCCTAACAGGCCGGAACAAAATAATTAATGGCTATTTTGAATAACAAAATTTAAAAGGTCAAATCTAAAAATCAAATCTTGGCTCAAACAAAACTTTATTAGTCGAAGCAGCTTTAGAATTGACACAACAATGACAATACACGGATGAATTAATATCCTTCATGTTAAAAACTGAAGGTCACAGAGAGTTGAAAAATTACTGAAAGGCATTTTCAACATAGTCCACATTGGTATACACTTGCTAGCATGTCTAAAGTCCAGAAAATGTAGTAATTAATAGGGGACAGATCAAATGAATGGGAAGGGTAATTTTTGAATTAGGAGATTGTTCATTGTCCTGCAATAGGATTGGCTCCTTTCTATTCACTATTGCTAGCCTAAATTTTGTAACTATTCTTGCATCACCTCCACATCTCAATAGGAGTCTGTGGTAATGAGCTGGCAATGTTGCAAGAAGCTGTAACAGCACCACTGAACAGTCAGGAGGATCTTTCTTGGGTAAAAATTTTGTTTGGAGGCAGCTGATGGAGGAAAAAGTTTGTCAACCCCACCACCCAAAGACATGTTTCTGATTATTATATAGAAACTACTTTTCCTCAACAGTCAATACACAAACCAAGAAAAAAGACCAAAAAACAAACAAATTGCAGTAAGTGTCAAACTGTGCAAGCAGCTGATCATCAGTGAAATTAGCCAATTCAGCATTTTTCTCACTTTGCCAATTTGTGCCTTATGTTTTATGACTATGCTTTGCTCCCAATGCTTGTATTTGTTTCAAGATAAGCCTCCATAGCTAACCTTAATTCTTTATTGTATAACAACCACTTGCAACTACAACTAGGTTTGTCTTGGAGATCCAGATCACCAGAATTGAATTTTTGGAACCAATTATTCATGGTCCATTCTGAAGCTGACTCCAGCTCCAAACACACTTTAGCAGCACAATAGCCAAGTTTGAAATCAAGAAACAATGACATGAAAATCATCTTAGCTTTGATACCCTATAAAAATAGAATAAAAGTGAAAACAATAAAAATCTCAAACACCTAAAAAAATTGCACTGCTGCAAAACAATATATAAATGTATACATAAACAGAAGTGAACAATGTGAAAAAATATGATCGCACTGATGCAACATTAAAAAGAAAAAGCCATTTATTTTATTCCAACCTCGTAGAACAAATATTGCTTAGCCAATCCAATAAATGCTAGTATTGGCATTATCTTTTAATTGTATTGCATATAGATTCATGTTACTAAGTACTATAACATTCACCTAATGATGAAAACTTTATCAAAATGTTAACATTTTCAGAAATTTTTTATATACATCTCAAGTAAGTTTAATTACCAAAATGGATCTGAAACAAAGCTAAGCATAATTTCTTCCAGCATTACCACAAACAAGTTAAATTACCTACTATAAACCTTAAGTATTCACTGAGGAATGTCCTTTTGCCCATATTGCTATAAAGGAAGATTATTATTTATTATTATTATTAGTGGGGAGTTCTTGAACTGATTAAGAAAGCTCCACCTACACCCCCAAATTCTGACATTTGATCATTTAGTCAAATTTTGGAAAGCAGGTAAAGCCAAGAACACATAAGGCTAAAAATTAACAAGAAAAAAGAAAATGCAATATTACAGGATGTGAACTCAAATGAGACAACACACAGTTTTGTTTGCAAAAGAGATGATCACAACTACACACAAAAAGTTCTCCCAGAACAACTGTACAGCAAAGAGTTCACAGGGTCATGCCATCACTATTAATTTTGCCCATTCACTAATTCTGTGACAATCAACTGGCTTGTCAAAAGTGCTGGTTATATACTGATTTGAATGCACATGTGCAAATTCTCTAAGTGGTAAATCTTGGTTATTCTCTCAAACTTAACTATTATATGCAATAGAAAAAGTTGGTCTCAGTTTTCACAATAGAGACACGAATACTTCTTTTATTGCAAATAGCATCAGCAAGTACATGCCTTTAGCCTTTCACAAGGTTAAGTAGGTATTTTATGTACAGAAAATATCACAATTTATAGTGTGCCTTATTCAATCAATGGTCACATTAATGACTACAGTATTCAATAGCCAAAATAAGAAAAAGTGTATTATTATGACTGGTAAACAATGAAGGCTTGTTCTTTAGTCACCATGATACATTTGGGGGAATTGTAGACAAGATAAGGAGTTATATTGTTATTTGCTGCTCTGTAGGAAGAACTTCACATTCCAATCTGCAAACAGGAATTTTAAATCTCTAGTTAGATAAAAATAAAAACCACAGCAGTAGCCATTTAACACATAATCATATTTAATAAAGGATAATCTATGCATTGTATCCTTTCAGGATATAAGCAATCATGGCTCTCTACAACTTCTATATTTTGTAGCTCAAAACAATGTTTGTCTTTTTACTATCCCTCCCACTCCTTGTTCTGCCATTCATTTATACATGCTTGTTAGGTAGATTATTTGCTGCTTCTCCCTGTCCTCTTGCCTTCAATGTCTTGTGAGTGCCTAATTTTTCAAGTCCTCCTTCCTCATTGTATATCCTAGAAATTTCAGCTGTCTCTAAGTATAAGTGTCTGTTTTACTTCCATTTTTCTTAAATGATCTCATAGCTTACATCCTCTTTTTTAATCACTGGTCCAATCTGAAGTGTGTCATAAATAAAACCTGTTAACCATAGTTCATTTGAAAATTAGGTTGAATAAGGTTCCTAATTTAAATAACAAATTATGCTAAAGACTTGAACAAAGAATGACAACTACCAAATTGAAAAATGACTCATGAACTTGTTGATGAACATGGCTAGTTATTAGCATGTGTATGAATGAATCAGTTTATAATCAGCATCTTGTAACCAACATAGCCTAATTAATAGAAAAGAGGAAAAAAAGTTAAGAAACAGGTTTAATTTTCTTTTAACAAAATTATTAGCAGATATAATTTTTTGAAGCAGAATTGAATGTGAGTTAGAATAAAAATTGCACACTTGTTAAAAAGATTTAAAAAAAAAAAGTAGAAAGAGATACATCAAGGCTGACTCTTAGTATCTTGATCTTACGTACTTACCAATATTTTTTTGGATCTATCAACTAAAGTTGTAGCAAGGCATCCAACAATCAGGTAAGGCACATTTCCCTATAGAAACCATCTATTTCCTATGACTTCTTTGTTCACAGGAATAGGCCAAAATCCAATAGAAAAAGAGGAGGACAGACAGTTACTGAACGCATTACAAGTGCACCATAAATAAAACTGATACAGACTCAGAGGAAGGTTAGGAATCAAAGAGAGGAAAATACAAAAACATAATCAACAGGGAAAAACGTTTACTTTCAACAAACAGTGAAAACAAATTAAAGGCCTTATGTATCATTTGGAACTCAAAGAAATTGTTAAAAAAAATGCTCAGTAACCAAGGGAGTAAATTCTACAGTTAATAGCTTTTCCAGCCAATTTCTTAATTTTTGATATTGAAAAAATAAAGATAAAAAGACCATTATTCAAATCTAAACAGCAGCAACTTTAATTAACTTATAAATAAATTATTTTTGATAAAGAGTTAAAAATTGATTTCACTATCACTATATTTTAAGGCCTGCCCACATAAAATATTGAACTTGATCATTATTACAGTATTGTTTAACTTATTGTAACTAAAAACAATGCTAAGTTGCTCAGTAAAATAATTTCAGGAAATAGTAACACCTTAACTGAATTTTTTTATTTTTTATTAGAAATCTATTCAGAATCTGTCTATATTTCTGAGATGAGGTACTATGTACATTATTTACATTATTCGGACTATTGTCCTCATCTTTGTTGCCATATTTATCACAACGTTTCGGCCATTGTATGCTCCGGCCTTCTTCAGGTGGTTGGAATGTCGAACTGAACCCTTTATTTCGCTCACTGGGGTAGACTGTTCTAGTTCCACATGCCATGTTTGATGGATGTCAGTTATCAGTTATCTCCTGCTAATTTCCCTTTGAAAATTCTCCAAGCATAGAAATAAATACAATATGGGAACCAGTAATAAGTAATGCCAGAGAAAAGCAAGGATAACAACAAAGTTGCAATATGAGCTCTGGTAAAAACATGCAATGATAACAGCAAAAATTGCAACATGAGCATTGGTAAAAATGGTTGCTGAAGACATTAGGTTTATAATACCCAGAAATTCATACCCAGATGTCCTCAAGGACACATGGCACAGTGGATAAAGGCGTTGGTAAGATCCAGTAACAGGACCCAAAGAGTGTGAGTTCAATACCCAGTTAAGGCAGAGGGAAATTAACTGACAGAACAGTCTACCCCAGTGAGCAAAATAAAGGGTTCAGTTCGACATTCCAACCACCTGAAGAAGGCCGGAGTGTACACTGTGATAAATATGGTGACAAAGATGAGGATAATAGTCCAAATAATATAGAAATCTATTTCTGATTAGTTTTGACTAACTTACAAAAGAAACACCATAAGTTCATATATCATGAACTTAACAGCATTACAAATATGCTAAATAGTATAATTAATAATTGAGCCCAGAATTCATTAAATTAGCTGCTAAATTCCAGTCAAATATTTCATATGCTCACCAAATATTCAGATCTTAATGTTTGTCTGTAGTCTCATTAGATACAGATATTTTTTTTGGCTTCCAAATAATTTGCATATCTGAAATCCATAAAAATAATTTCAGCAAATAAATTTTTAAAAATATAATCAGTGTGCCAATCAGAAATTTTAAAAATTCCCTGAGCAAGGTAAGTTTAAGATGTGAATTCTTTGTCATTGTTATACCACAAATTATCTTCATACCAATTTTTTATTATTAAAGTAATTATTGCAATAATAATAATGTTTTCTGATCATATAAGATGTTACACATCAATGCAAAGGAAAATTGATTTTCAAAAATGAGAATAAACAAGGAAGGAAATGCTAAAGAGTAGCACTGAAAATTCTCCCAACAGCTTGATTCTTATATATGTAGTAGTAATTCAAATATATGCGCTATATATATATATATATATAATTAATACAAGTATAAAGTTTGTCACTTAGCTCATTGATATTACCTTCAACATCCCAACGAGTTTTGTAGGCAGACCCTCCAGGAATCACTTTGTTTACTTGTCCCCCCACCCCACACACAAAGTCAATCTCATATAGAAACTGGCCCTTATATTAACCAAAATTCTATCCCATTATATGCCTGTGCTATATCAGTTTCATGCAAAAGACTAATTTAGATTATACAAGGAACTTATCTTCAATATAAATTAACTAAAATATATTTACTTACTAATATAAGTTGTCTTGTTTTTTTTTAAATCTGATGCTAGACATTTTTAATGTCATTTTCATCTTTTGTATTTTCACTTGAGTCTTCATATTGTAGACTGTTTTTTTTCAATCAAAATTATATTTACATAAAAAATGTTTATTGGAATCATTTGAATAGACTTTTTTCATTTCCTTTTCAATGAAAATTAAACCACTGAACTTAAAAGAGGCATTAAGTGCAGAATTATTCAAAGTAAGGTCCTGAGAATTTATATCTATGATTACTGATTTCTATCTTTTAACCTAATTTCACACTGAGTTTGTTCATGTCTGCAACAGTTTTACTCCTTTTGGGTTTGAGAAATGATTAACACAACATTAAAAATGAGGGTTTTTTTAATGATAAATGTAATTCTTTTTTACAGCTAAATGATTATAAATATGACTTTTTGGTGCATCAAAACATCCATTCCAAGACTAAAGCAATAATGCCCATATAAACTGAAGTGCCAAAAATTTAGAAACAACTGTACAATGGAAATTTTTGCCCTTCCCTCATTAAAAGAAATAGACTCAGCTGGATGACATATATAAGACCTGATAGGTAAAGAGACACTATAGCTGTAGAAGCAGCCAGGGGATATGAGCAGAATTTAAAACCATTTTACCATGGAATGACTGTTAGAACCAAAAAGAGTGGGTACTATCTCTAAACTGTTTTGCTCGGGTAATATGAGCATACAAAGAATATTTGAATTCTAGAGGGGCATCAATGGTGCATAAAAACTGTGGGAAAATAGTTGGTCCAAGAATAGCACTACTAACAACAAACAAGGACAACAACCTCCCAAAAAAGGAGAACAATGTACCAAATTACATCCCAATTCAATACTATTGATGTTCATCCCATCAGTCAATACCAGTACAGGTGGAGCTCAGAAGAACAATGAATGAAACTGAAGTCTCTCTTGACAGATGTGACATACACAGATTTTACTGCAGATCATTATATCCATGTTTCTTGAGGGTAATGTTTCTCCCCATCCCAACAATTTAATACAAACACATCTTGCACAGATGACATGACACTGGTCCCAGGTATTCCATTAGCCTCTGTGCTCACCAGATTTAAATCCTACTGAACATGATCTCAATAAATTCCCAGTAGACACAACCAATAAATACAACTCAGTGCTTAGTTAGATATACCCACACAATGACTATTAGGTGGTTGGCTCTAATTTTTTAACACTTTTGTTAATAATATGAATACAAACATTATATTTAGTGGATACACATGTTTGGAGTAGACATTTCAGATTTTTAAAGGGCATGTCAACGAGCCTTGGTTTCTTTAACACATTGATTGCCAGACAGGAGATAACTCATTGTTGGCAGTTTTTATTATGACAATGGCTAAGAGTTATCTCATGCTTGTCATTCTCTGATAACTCATCTGTGGGCACCAACAATGAGTTTATTTGCAGTAATATTCTTAATGTGAAAACAATATTAAGACTTCAGTTAAAGCTATAAATCAACACATAAAAATTTTTCATTGCCTAAGTTGGCTATTATAAAGTTGGTATTTAAAGTTAGATTTCATAATTGACCTCTGACAGTTTTAATAAAGAAAATGTGCCTTTCAGCAGGGTTCAAACTCATGTCCTTAATTGAACCTTGCTTCTCAAGGAAAGTTCTTCAGGAGAAAGTCCTGAGTGATCTGAAAACATGCCAAGCTATACAGTGGTTTCCCCCTACATAAGGAGGAATGCAAATGGGTATATTTTCTTTATTAAAGACTCTTGAAAACCAGGACTGGTAGACAACAATTACATTGTTTAAAAAAAGGAAATGTGTATCCACTAAATATAACAGTTGTAGTAATAAGAAATAATGTTGGATTATAAATAGAAATTCATTAATTCCCTAGAAATTATATACTGTTTTGCATTCCCCAACCAACTTTATTTTAGCATGCTATAAGTTTACAATTCAAAACTTTTGCTATATAAAAGGTCTTCAAATTGAAATAACCTCTGTTGGTTGCATCCCTCCATACTTGACAAAGAACTGTATGCATTCCATTCCATGTAGTTGTGACACAGAACACAATGACAAAACAAGCTTCTCCCTTAAGGTAAAATTGGAAGAATATTGAAAGGCTGAAGAGAGTCAATGAAATCAGACATGGCTGATCATGTATAGTGGGAAATAAGTAGCCATCAACCCCTATAGAATTAAACTGGAGGATAAGATGACTGAAAGAATCAGTACAAATGTTAGGCAATCACAATCTCCTCAATAAAACTAGAGATGAATACCATCTGTGAGCATCTAATTAAGAGAGAAAGGAGGCTCAAAAACAATATTTCCATCATCTGACACAGGCATTAAAGTGAAATGTCTCCAAAATGACATCACTAGATTGTCCAAACGACATGGCTTAGTCAAAGCACATTTGATTTCCTAGTAGTTATGAGTTCCTAAGGTCTGATATAGCAGGAAAATCATATATTCTCATTCACTGGAAGGAAGAGACAAACAGAACAAAAACAAAACAGACAATAGAGAAATTAATTAATACAAGATATAACTGAAGGATATCAATATACCCCAGTGAATTTAATAAAAGCTTTTGGTTCAAAATTCTGTGGCTACCAAGTATGATAGTCAGCTGAAGAAGGCCTGAGGTTACCATGGCTGAAACAATGCATATATTACATTCTAGATGAGCATACTAGTTTGAATAAAAAGACAATAATGACAATGCTTTAACTATATGCACAACTTAGGATTATCAGAAGAAAAATATTAACTACAACATGAATGTTTACAGGAGTTGATGTGCCATAAAACCACAGTCATAATCCTTGCAGCAATAATTTAAATATGGTAATAGTAATTGTACAAAGATGCTTGGTAAAATGAAAAATTATAAGCAAAT